GCCCTTGTGGCAGGCTTTTTATGTGGGATCATTTGTGCAGGTCACAAAAGCAGACTTGCCCTTAATTGGGTTAAGTGCTTTGGTGCTTTGTGACACTTTCAAGTCAATCGAGTTGGTTACACTGTGCGAGTACTACGCCACTGTCCACACTCTCCCACAGTGTATACAGGTCACATTCTTGAGCTTTGGCAAACCGTGGTCGCACATCAAGGTACGTTCACTCACTTTTCATCTCCTACGCGTTACTTATGTTTCTACTATTAGTGTTTCAAGTGCTTGATGGATGGCGATTGCATGATTATGCCTTTCAAGCATGGTGGGCAGGCTTGTGTTTATTGCCAAGTGTCACACCTCAAGTGCTCGTTTGTTCAGTCACCTTTCAGTACGCCTTTTCTCCTTTCTCGATCACCAATGCCGTCACACTGATTTAGCTCCTTTTGTGACTGCAGATGCCAAGTCGCTTGCTGATACTGAGCATATTCTTAGTGACGCTCATGGACTGGATGTTCCCAGCACCCTGCTAGTCAAAATCTATATGCAGGAGCGTGCGCGACTGGTAGTGGAGGCGACTCGCATTGGCGAGCATCTCCAATTCTTGAAGACCTTTCTGGCTGTGAATGGAAAAGCCACGTAGTCTAGACCTGTCTCGATTTGTCTTTTGTGTACTCCGCTTGCTCGTGTACAATAGTTCGACTGCATTCGTCTCTGATGCTGTGCTGTGAATCCATTGTTTTGGGTGGCTTCGATCAGAGTTGGCTCGTGTTTCAGTTCTGTGATAGAAGTTCCGTCTGAGTCACTCGAACCAGCTTTCTGAGAAAGCCGACTGGCTCTACCATATGGTAGAGGATGATACCGCAAGGTTTTAATGACACATTCACGTGTCCAAGCTTGGCCAGTTCAAATTTTTCTGCCATGACACCTGACTCACCTCTCCCTCTTCCTCGATCTCTTAGTTCCTCGATGGGTGATCCTGCTACCCCATCATCCTCTCAATGTCCTGCAACTCCTATCACTTCTCCATGCAAGGTACACTCATCTTCCAACCCTTCTGTGCTTCACTAACTGCTTTCCTTGACACCTAGGTGACAGACTCAAAGGACACCATCATAGGCATCGTATACCCTGCTTGGGAGGCATTGTGTGAGGCAGAGTCTCTCAATCCAGCTGTGGGCTTTGAGTTTCTGATACGCGAGTTTCTTTCTGCCTTGGTAAGTGAATGCTTCATTGTCTTCGCCGATGGCTAACTCGTTCCCTTCTCCAGCATGAACTTCGCACCTTCTCGGACTTGGCATCGCAAACACGCTATACTCAGTTTTGCCAAAAGGCCCAAGTGCATCTCAATACCTTTGTACAGCCATCATGGCTATCATGGTGTGAAGAGCTGATCTCGCTCGAGTGGGCTGCCACCTTCTTGGCAAGCAAGGTGCATGCGCTGAACCATGGTCCCTTTATCTTCTGCTTGATGCAATTCTCTGTCTCTCCTAGGAGCCTAGCCCCCCTCTGACAACTGAGGCTTCTGCATGTACACCTTGCAATACTGGGGATGTCACAGCCTCCGGTTCTCTGACTGCTTCCACCAGCACTGATGACTCCCTTCCTGCTACTGTTTCAACATCTGCTTCCATGGTAGCTGCACCTGTTGCGGCTGCTGATGCTCAAGGTGTTCCCATCCCCAAGTGCAAGTTCCAGGCTCATGCGGCCAACCCAGTTGCTATCGACCCTCCTTCCAACTCTGATACTGTGGCCATGGAGGTCGATATTTCGCTCGCTACTGTGGTCGCTAAGCCTCCTTCTGCACCAGTCTCTGAGACAATCGAGCTTTCCAGTAATGATGAGGATGACAGCGAGAGTGATGAGATCGAGTACATGGGTGGCACTATGCCCAACTTGTCTCCAGCTCATCTGAAGAAAGGCAAGGGATGCAGTCGCAAACCTGTGAAGTCATCCAGTGCGACCACCACATTCGAGGATCAGTATGTGCGCATGCCTGTCCGTACTTTTCATGATCGCTCCCTTCCACCAACGTACCTCCTGCTGTGGCAGAAGCCTTCCATCATGTGCTTGGTAAGTCTTCGTACAGCTGCTTCATTTCCTATCGCTAATGCTTTCTTTCTAGTGTCGATACTGCCTATCCTCCGAGAAGGTCTCGTGAACGTGCACACTGAGTGAATTCTGGCCAAAATGTCGCAAATGCCATCACAACCACAAGGCCTGCAAGTGGTGGACTCATGACATGGCTTCAGATGTTCACGATTCTGATGGCTGGCTTTCGCTGAAGAAGATCTACTGTCGCAAGGGCTGGACAGTGCCTACAGCACCTGAGGCCTCGGTGATGGTGAAGGCTTCTCACCACCAGATTAGCTACGACTGGCTGATGCATGATGCCAACACAGCTGAAAGTGAGAAGGTGGCTGAGCTTGAGTTGCCGCTCAACACTCCCATTGATGAGTACGAGGTTGCACTCACCACGGCTCTGCATCTTCGTAAGTTTCCTTGGACTTCTATCACTTCTTGTCTTGGCTGACACCCTCTAGTTCTGGTCAGCTCCCTGCTGGCCACACCTGCACCTGAGACCGGGTCAGAGGTCAAGGAGTTGCCTGACAAGATCATCGTAAAGCAGGAGAAGGACACCGCCGATCCTTCATGTCACAACTTGGCTATTCCTCCGCTGCCGTGTGGTACATTCCTTGTTGCCTTTCTATTTTTCTTGCTAACAGTTTCTCTAGGTCATTCCGACTGGCCTTCCAAGCATCCTCGCTTCAATGATTCTGACCCCAACAATATCATGATGCAGCACTTCCACGCCAGCACGATCGTCGTTTCGTCGACCAAGGTCCTCAAGCTGCGCTCCTCGAAAGGCAAAGCTCATGTGAAGGGCTCCTCAAAGTCTGCGATCATGAAGTCAGAGCTGACTCATGCTTCATCAGCCACCATCGAGCCTTCCTTGGCCAGTACGCAACTCGAGCGTATAATCGAGCTCTCACAGCAGCTTCTCAAGGAGAATCGCGCTTTGAGGGCTCACAAGTCATGACTTCATCATCATGCTGGGCTTGGGCGGGGGCGACACAAAGTGGGCTGTCTGCATCTTTTCTCATATCGTTGTCGTGATCTCTCTCTCCATGCATGCAGAGCAAATGTATTAGATAACTTGCTTGAATAAACTGGTGTGTCGAAAACCTTGTGCGAGCTTTCCCGAGTGAACTGTTAAGTGAGATTTCGCAAAATATGACAGCCTTGTCCAAATCCTTGAGTCTCCTGAGTCCTTAGCTGAGTCTTTGCCTATATATGACTGAATAATTAGTTCGAATCCCTATACTTGTCTATTCCGACATGTTTGCATCATACTGGTCTTGCAGTCCTTCGTCTTCATCTTTCAACTCCTTGTCTTCTTGTTCTTCATCTGGTTCCTCTTCTCCTTGGTTGTCCGACTGGTGCATCTCCTTCAATCGAGTTTCCGATGCGTCCAACATTTCTTCTGCGATCGCAATCTTCTTCCTTGCTGCGAATGGTACCACCCTAAATGCAGCGGTTGATCGATCCAATACTGCTCCATCCAATTTGCACAGCACGTATGCTCCTCCCTGATTGCGAAACAGCACAATATACAGTCTGATGTAGCGTGGTCTCATTTTCTGATTGAGTGCCTTCTCAATCTGTGTATGCCAAACCAAGACTAGGTCTCCATGCTTGAAGTCAAAATCCTTGATCGCATTCTTATGGACTCACTCAAATCATCTGACTGCTTCCCTCCTGGCTTCGTAGAGCACGTTATGAATTCTTGCGACTTGCTCCCGATGCTTCTGCAATGCTTCAGCTCAGCTCACGATTAGGTCAGTCATTGTCACCATTCTCACTGGGGCTGGGATCAAGTATGTTGCTTCGACGATGTCAAGCGGTAGGACTGGATGGGTGCCTGTGACCGCAAAATAGGGTGAACAACTCATGCTTCTCCTAACCGTTACTCTTTCCGATCAGAAAACGGAATGCGCGACTTGACTCCATTTGCGCTCTTCTCCATTGGCAGCCTTGAATAGACCCTGCCAAACGTCGAAATGCAGTCGCTCAATGATTCCATTAGCACATGAGTTGTAGCCACTTATCTGGATGTGCTTGACATGATATTTCTTTTCCAGATAGGCTGCTGCTTTTATGAATGGTGCACCATTGTCAGTGACGATTTTCGATAGGGCCCCGCAGTGACAGAGTATATCCTCAAAAATCCAATCACCGAGGGTCTTCGCAGTTTTAGCTCAAAGCATATGGAACTCGGGATAGTGGGTGAGGGAACACTGACCCTGCATGATGTACTTAAATCTGTTTGAGAGCGGCATATGCATCGTGTCAATATATATCTTTGCAAATATTGGGGCTGAAATTGCAACTGCCGAAGGAATGAGAATCTGGCAAATCTGTCGCTTTTGACATACTACGCAAGTCTTGACAAACCAAGCGATGTCGGCCACAATATCTGGCCACCAAAAGTGTTCGTGAATCAACGATCAAGTCAGAAAAATGCCTCGGTATCCTAGTTCATCATGTGCTCCAGTGAGGACTCTTAGTCAATTTTCTGGTAGTATGACTAGCTTGTGCGATCCTTGTCCATCCTTCCTCCAGAGACATCTGTCTCATTTGAAGAAATGCACTGCATACTTTAGCATCTGATTGTATTCTTGATCTGAGTAGTTCTTCGGTCACTGCAACGTTTCTAGCCAGTCAGTGATTAGAGCAATAAGATGGTCATTCCATCTGGCTCGTGCAGATCATGGAACGTCCTTGTAGCTGACTGCCTTCAGGTCCTCAGTATCTCACCTGGTTTCCGATCCATCATTACTTTGAGTCGGAAGCACAAAAACTGATTGCGTGGCTGGCTCTGCCCCATTCTGAAAAATTGACCATCCTCGGTCGATGGCGGATTACTCGAAAGCTGCGCTCGGGGAAGTATCTGATGCATAAATCTGTTCATGTGATCCACCCAGTCATCGAAGTTGGTGTCCTCGATCAGCTGTGGTGGAGGGTCATCTGGCTGTCTCGGTCAGCATGATAATCCATCTGAACCATGCATGACTCCTGGTATGTGGACTAGTTGAAAATGGTACATGAAAATCGTGATGACCCAATGGTTGATGCTTGCACTCGGAGCGATGTCTGGGTTCTGCAACATGCCCTTGATGTACTTGGCATCGACTTCGACTATCAGATTGCGAATGCTGATCAGATAGACCTTGAGTGCTCGCAAAATGCGATATAGACCGTAGAGCTCGAGCTTCAGTTGCAAAATCCTCTTCTCGTGATCGTTTAGCATGATAGACCTGAACTGACTGAAAAACCGCATTTTTGAACCGTTGGTCACATCTTGGCACAACTGAAATTCAACTGCGATTGGAGAAGTGTCCACTGCGAGGATAACTGGTGCTGACGAGTTGTAATCAATTGCTCGCAAAGCTGGTGACTCCAATAATGCCTGCTTTAGGTCCTTCATCGCTTTGAGCTGTGGTTCACTGAACTTGAATGGAACTTCTTTCCGAGTGAGCTGCACTAGTGAGTATGCTCACTTTGTGAAGTCTTTGATGAAGATCCTCATGACTCCAATCATGCCTAAGAAGGCTCAAACTTCCGCTAGATCCTTGCATGGGCCCCAATTTCTGACTGTCCAGACTCACGATTCATCTGGCAACTGTCCAATCAGGGTGCACCTGTGTCCGATGACCGTGATCTCTTCTGTGCATAGCATCAACTTCATTCCTGAGAAGGTACCTCTGACATACTCCATTCGTTGCACAATCTGATTGAGATTCTGAAAGTGCTCCTAAATGAATTGTCGGATACTGTCATTAGCTGCGATCATCTCAAAGCTTCCGTTGGACTTGACATATCTAGTCGCTGGACCTTTGACTGGAACATCATCAATGTACGGCATGGTGAATGCAGGAATTTTCGATTGCAAAATGTATGTGACGTTGATATGCTCAACTGCATCCTGGCCGTGAGCAGCGCTCCCTAACCAAATCCCTCTTGATCTTGGAAGGTGAACTGGGGCTCATCCATCTGCAGTTCCTTTGGGGCTACAGTCGCAGGAAACTTCAGATGATAATGCAGCGATGGGCGGCCATGAGTCGTTTGGCGGTGTGTGCTCGAAATGGGGTAAAATACCACAAAAATGCGGATCGATAAGTGTCGGGTTCGACTATGGGGACGCCTCTGACTGGGAATCAGTCAAAAGCTGGAGAGTGGGGGTGTGTGGGTGTGAAATGCAACTGGCAACTCCTGTGCTCGCAAACGGCGATAGCTGAGGGTCTGAGCTGGGTCACGAGGACTGGCTACTTCTGGATGAAGCTGGTTAGGTGCCGACGATAAAGCCCTAACTGCCTCTGAACTGGATTAAGCACCAACAATGAGTCCCTAATAGCTACTGAGCTGGAATGAGCACCGACGATGAAGCCCTGGGCATCTAGAATGAGAACGAGTGCCGACGATGAAGCCCTGGGTGTCTAGAGTCGAGAACAAGCACCGACGACGAATCCCTGGATGCTAGCGAGGCTACGAGGTCTGATGAGGATGGAATCCTGGTTTGGACTCATGACTAGTGGCGTGAGACGATGAAAGCACGACAACGTGACTTAACTGGCTGAAACCCGAGTCGAGCTAGAGGCCACTACTGAGAGTGCTGCCCCTCTCAGTGTTGAGAATCCCAGAGGTGTGGAACGTGATCGCAATAGACATAGACGTAGTCAGGCACGACGCCCTAGCATAGACAAGACGAGAACTGAACTCTGCTGCATGGGGAAACTCTGTGGAGAACTTGTTTTTATTTCTAGGTACAGCGTGGATTATATAGTGGATCGGAAATGAGCCAGCTGAGTTGCTGAAACGCATTTCTGATCATACATTAGGTTTCCGATCCATTGAGACATGTCACAAAGCTCGCTCCTGCCCCCTCTCCATATCATATAGTCGGGGAACTGGAAGTCTGGCCCTGCCAGGGTTCGTCAGTCCGCTACCCTGCCTTCCATTTGGTTAGTGCACTTGCTCGTTTTCGAGTTGCCTAACCAGTCGTGTTCCATTCTTGTGCTGTGCCTCGTAATCGGCTACGCTTCTTCATGGCTTTCTCATTATTTTCACACCTCATGTTCTCCTTCTGACCTCTTCACGTGGTTTCGTGTTCCCAGGCAGTTGGCAATGCCTTCCTTTGCCCACTCTGGACTGTCATTTTGAATCGTGCAACTCGCTATCCAATTGTGCGATAGTTGGACACAGTTTCTGGCATTTTCTGATCACAGAATATCTCAGTGCATATCAATGTCATCATGGAAGATCAGTACCGAGTTGGTTCACCCCATCGGAAGGGTGATGAGTTGCAAAGCTCCGAATGGTGTCTGGAACATGGTGAGGTCGCGCGAGGTTTCTGCTATGAGTCGCTCATCATATCTGATGTATAAATTGAGCATGGCTCCACATGCGTGACTGCTGAACTGCTCTGCTAGGTGCTCTGGAGTCGGTGTAACTCCCAAATGCTGAATCATTACTGCATTGAGCAGTTTGAGGCTGTGGACGAGTCGCAAAGACTTTCCGCCTTTATTTATGACACAGAACCATCATGATCGGTAGGATGAGTTTGATGGTTCGTAAACTCTGGCATCCAGCTTTTTCTTGATAATCACACAGACTTCCTTGTAGATCCCAGGAGGAATCAGAATATTTCTCTGAACCCAAGGCTGATGCAGTACGACTGAAAAATTGATCAGTGGGAAATACTGCGACTTGAATCGTCCTCACTCGAAATCACTCCAAGTGAATGCCTGGTTATGCAGACACATAAACATGTGCATAAGAGCTCGCTCTTCTGGCCATAAGAATCCCAGCTGATACACCACATCCAAAGCCTCCATGTGTTCCTTCATATAGTGACCGGTCAGAAAGAATGGACCTGGCCACTCCGGAAGCTTAGGTAGGTGCCTCAAAGGATCTCCAACTATCCATCAAATGATTCGGAATTGCTCGGGTACTGATGCGATCACTGGTCGAGTTTTGAGCATGACTGGCTTGTACTTTTTCTTGGTCACAGCATAGCCTGCTCTCGAGCTTGACTCTTGATCACAACCTTGATCTATGATCGTCTGTAGTAGTCGTGAAGTCGAAGTGCAAGATGTCAGTCAGAAATCTGAGGTGACTGTGTACAATGATGATACTGTGTCGAGGACCTGTCCTGATGCTCACAAATAGCTTGACTGAACGGAAATGGGATCAGAAGATACAACTGGGGAATAGGCTGATATAATAGGGGTATATGTGCTGCTTACATCAATGATTAATGACATCCCACTGCTTTTGGTACTCATATCTTCTGCTAGTGAAAACCCAGATTCTTTGATCAGAAAGGCTGTGCTCTGACTCGCGGTGGTCCTCTTGGTATTGTGGGTATCATTGCGACTCTTCCAGTATTGGAACATACGATTGTAACTGTCTGATTCTTGTCAAAGAAGTTGCGAACTATGCTCTTGGTGAGCATATCGAATGGTCATCCTAGAAGAATGTCGTAGGCTGCTGTGCAAATAATGTGGATCTGCAAATATAGGACAATGTCTCCGACTTGGAAAGGTACGTTGCAAATCAGTCCGAGTGACTGATCGACTTCTCCGTTCATGGACTGCATATTGAGCTTTATTGTTGGATCGTAAATGAGTCTCAGCGAGAGACAGATGTCCTCTGACATTGCGACAGTCTGGCATCCTGGGTCTAGGATCGCCTGTACTCGCTCTTTGTTGTCGATGAGTGCGACTATCGATCGCAATGCGTGTGAGTCTTTTGTGACTGTCAATTGCTCTGGCTCATCTCCATTAGGAATGTGCTTCAAGTAGGCATCATAGGGATCAGAAATGACTGAGCCTGTTGCTGCTAAAGGCTTCCCTCTACAGGTGAACTCCTCTTTCTGTTCGATCGTAGCACTGCTGTCTTCCACACTCTCAAAGATTGTCACCATTCCGGTCACACTTGGAGGTAGTACTCACTTCGGTGTGCATGCTTTGTGATACTTGTTGTGCACATCTGGTGATATTGATAACAACTCCTCCATCGACAATGTTATGGCCGACGACTTCATCGACTGCTCAAAAACCATAGTCGCAAGCTCCAGCTGGTAGACTGGTGGGGCATTGCGATAGGCTGCATCTCGTGCTCCTGGCTTTGGAGCTTGACTGAAGTTACGAGTGTTCAGTGGTACGTATAACGCGTCTCTAGCTGATCAGAAAGGATGCTCAAGAACTAGATCTGCGATTGCTGGAACTGACATACTTGGCGTGCTCTCAGTGGCCTTCTCTGGCTCTGCCTAAGGTTGTGCTTGCTTGAGTGCCTTTTCTGACTGTGCTGGCTTTGCGACTGATCCTGCCGGTCACCTCGGTGGCATATGAACTCTGTCGAAGACTGGTCGTGATTGCTTTAGATTGAATAGTTCTTGCTTTAAAGCTTCGATCCTATCTTCTGCACCTAGCGAGAATGAACTGGCTTTGTCCTCCGAGACTTCAAATAGATTCGCCGCTGAGACTGATGCTGTGACTGGAGTCTGATTACGCCTATGCCACTTGTAAATGCGATTGCGAATCATGATGCCTGGAATCGTGTGAGGTACGAATGTTCTGTTCAGTAGGACAACCTTTCCAGCTGCATTGCGAATGCAATTGCCACTCTTGATGTCCTCCTCGACATGCTTGCATGTTCCGATCATGCCTCCGGCTTCTCCGCAATAGTGGCAAAATCTGCTCGGATTCTCGTTTGTAACTGGTGGTCTGCTCGCTGTTGCAGCTTGACTCCCATTCTGCTTCGCAATTCCTCCTGTCGCAGCTTCCATGAGCATCTGGACTGACTTGACCAAGCTCTCAATGAGCAAGGAAATATCATGGCTCTTGATTGCTGGTGCGCTGCTAGTTGACATAGTCATAGTCGGCTTTACTGCAGTCGGCCCTGCACTAGTACCATGCAACACAAACTTTGCTGCCTCGTAGACATCGTTCACCAAGTAGGGATCATCTGGATAGTGGTCTGGCTGCTTCAGCTGCAGGCGCTGCGAAATCTGACTCCATAACTCTGGTGAAAATCCTCGAACAAATGCGCGATTGTGTTCTGACTCCGAAATGCAATTCTTGCCAATGAGAAATGAGGTGATGGCTAGGAACTCCCGATGATAGTTTCCTAGTTCTGCGATCGTCTGAATTCCCAGTCGGGCTCGCTCCCCGACTAAGAGATCCATGTCTCGAACTTCCCATTTGCGCTCTGTATCTGCCCCTGGATACAGCTCCTGTATGGCTTGTCACAAATCGACATAAGTCTTCGCTGGATCGGAATACTCCAGAAGTGACTCGACTAGATCGACAACGTCTATATTGAGATAGCGTTTCAACCAAAGCTTCTTTTCTGCTTCATTCGTGACTTGGCAACACGTAAATAGGATTTCTAGGTCATCAAAGAAGTGAAAGAGTGTTCTTAGCTGATCAGGATCGAAAGTGGGTGCCGATTGATCACCACAAAATGGCATCTGATTGATGATTACAGTTCTCATCGTGACTGTGGCTGTGGTGATCGGTAAATTAAGTGTTTGAGTCAGCTGTGGTTCCCAATATTGTAGTACAATCATCCACCACTGTGCTAAAACATTTGTGAACAAGTCCTTCAGGTTGTACACAATGTGTTATAATATTCTCACCACTGCATAACATTGTGCATTATCTGAATATTAATGTAAATCATTCACAGCACTCTCATTTCACAATGTCAATCGTGTAGTAAAGCATTGTTTGACATTGTAAATTATCCAGAGATGATTGATCAACATTGTATTTGACTCCTGCTATATATATCCACATTGTCAATGATTCTGGAGCCATTATTTCCGCAGGTTGACACAATGTATTACAATATCCTCACTATTATATAACATTGTGAATCACTTGCAGATAATTGTGTATCATTCACGTCATGCTTGTTTGACAATGTCTTTCATCTGGTGGTGCATTTTTTGACATTGTGAATTACCCAAAGATGATTGATCAACATTGTATTTGACTGTTGCTATATATATTCACATTGTCAATGATTCTGGAGCCATTATTTCTGCAGGTTGACACAATGTATTACAATATCCTCACCATTATGTGAATTACTTGCAGGTAATTGTGTATCATTTACGTCATGCTTATTTGACAATGTCTATCATCTGATGAGGCATTTTTTGATGTCGTGAATTATTAAAAGATGATTGATCAACATTGTATTTGACTGTTGCTATATATATCCACATTGTCAATAATTCTGGAGCCATTATTTCTGCAGGTTGACACAATGTATTACAATATTCTCACTATTATATAACATTGTGAATCACTTGCAGATAGTTGTGTATCATTCATGTCACGCTTGTTTGACAATGTCAATCATTTGGTGGGCATTTTTTGTGACATTGTGAATTGCTCAGAGATGGTTGATAAACATTGTATTTGGCCACTGCTATATATTTTCCACATTGTCAATTGTTCTGCCAGCCAGTATTGACATTGTGCTTCATTTTACAGGGCTCTACAAAATGTGGTGCATCCAACTGAATCAAGTAGTAGCACAGTGTGCTTCAAGCTTCAGGTATATCTGAGACACATAGGCATCTCTCTTCTCATAGCTTGCAGGAACCTTGTATATAATGCAAATTAAAATTCAAGTTGTCAATAATTATCTGAGTTTGGATACAACATATCTTTTGAATTTTAGACCTTGGTACAGTGAAACCAGCCATAAGACAAGCATATAAATCTCAAGCACTACCTAAATACTACAAATCATCTTCAGGAATGTCAGACTCAGCCTCAACTTCATCCTCAGACCCTTTCTCTTTGATAGATTTGCACATTGCATCTGTAAAATCCTTGGCCCATTCTGGAACTGTGCCAGCCTTGTGCAGCAATGGCAGCCACATGGACATGAACTTGACGGAGAGTTTTTGAAAGATTGCAGCCTCTTTTTCAGCATAGGCATGAAGCCCACATGCCAGGGATGGAGAGACATCAGTGCATTTACCTGCATGCTGACACCACCATCTCACCTTCCACCTGAGATACTCAATCACTCGTTACATCTCCTCCTCCAGGAGTTGCTTCTCCTCAGCCCATCTATCTGCCTGTGCCTTTGTATGTGCCCACTCGACGTGCATGCTATCATTGTACTCACTGGTATTCGAGACCTCCTCACTGATAGCGGTCCCATCTGGGCATTTGACACACCAGATCCAGGATAGCTCATACTGGCCCTCTCCCATTCTATCATCATCACACCTTGGTCCAGAGATGTGCTTCTCTTCCAGAACAAGAAAGCGATTTGACCAGTCACCACCAGGATCAAGTACGGAGAGGGCAGCATGAGCGACACAATAGGTGGAGATCGCATGCTGGATCTTGTCTGTGAAACGCATAAATAATGTACGCATTCTCGTATTTGCTTTTTGTCCAGTGCCGGATACATTCATCTTGCGAAATTGACGGACCTCCATGAGAACACGACGTAACTGACGAATTTCTGCAAGTGCATCATCAGCTTGAGCAATGCGAAGCCGTGTCTCCTTCATGACAAGATTGCGCAATGCTTCGGAGCTTTGCAAGGCAACAGAAAGGGATGATGGCAACCATAGCTTCATATCGTTAGCTGCATAGTCTGACTCTTCTGCTATTTCTTCAATGCTGATGTACAGAGCACGTAGCTGTGCCGCTATGGGCATGTAAATGTCCTGCAACGTGCACCACCCTTGAATGCAATGATACAGCACATTCTGTTTCTGTTGAGAGTCAGCACGCATGGCGTCACTTTTTCTGATAGACTTGAGCTGTGATACATGGCTATGATGCTGTTAAATTTGGTACGGTGAGACATGATGCTTTTACATACACTTGACCTTCTAGCTCTAAGCTGAGCTGAAGGAATACACTGGCAGTCACTTCATGAGGTGCTACATGTCCACGAGCAGCTTCAGCGGCATCTTCTTGTGCCAGTTGTAGGTGGACTGCATTCATCGTCCACACTATATGCGCCATCATTTATGTTGTCGAGCAACATTGATATGTGAAGACGTACTGGAGGTTGGCTCTTCGAAAGGGTCAGGCTTATGATCGTGATTCTGCTGCCAAGCCTCATGAATATCTTCCCATTCCTTGATTACTGCTGGTACAAATGTATTCGAAAATCTGTTGAATATATCTCGGTGCTTCTGGCGCATTGAGACTGCCTCCTTGTATGAATTTTGCATGTGCTTGCCTGGAACTGTATCATGTGTGACATGAGAGCTTACGCGACCCAAGCAATGGAAGAACATACTGAGATTAATTATCTTTCCCCAATTCCATGCACCCCAATGATCGTCGAGTATCTCTTGACGCATCGCAGTTCCCATCTCCTGTACGCTCATTGCAATTGGATTCATGTGTGACCAGCTCAACTCGATGCCCTCACCATATGTGTGCCCCACATGCTGAACATAGTTGAGAGAATATCATGCATGGTTGGCGCTGTGAGCTGGAAGATGTTTTTTCGGTATTCCCCAGCGAATATTGATACGATCAAATTCGAGATGGAGGTCTTCATGGTATGTAGCATTTCGCTTCTGGAAGTTCTTGCTAAACTGGCATGCGATGTCATAGGTAAGAAAGAGCCAGAGGAGAACAAGCGATGTGAGGGTGGATAGAATGAGATAGTCGATGTTGCAGAATCTATCACTCATCAGGGTTTTACCCACACTGCAGAAAATGCGATAAGCGACTCACTTTTCTCTTTTCTGAAGGTCTCCGACTCCCTTCTTGTGGACAAATGCATGGCGGGCACAGAGCACAGCACTGACTCCAGATGCCAGGTAGCCTTCCTTGCAAAGATTTGCTTTGATTATTGCATTGTGCTCCGCAGTGCAGGTATTCTCCTGTGAGAATATGGCTGAATATGCTATTGCTCAGTGGGAGACAATGCTGCTGCACATACCTCCTCTAAGTGAGCATGTTGCTCAACATGCTTGAGATAGCACACTTCCTCCACGTAGTATGCCCAACCCGGTGACAGATGGACATCGGTCAAATCTCAGTCTTTGCAGCAGATGTGGAAGTTTGCGTCCACCATGAGAAATAGTACGTACAGCCAACTGGATTGAGCAATCTGTGTGAGAGAGAATGCATGATAAGATACACCTATATACTCACGAAAGTTCAGGAGGTGCACGCTCCCAGTCTTCCAGTAGATTGTGACCAGGATGGGGACAGGCTGGGCACTCCACGGTGAGCTCTCCTTCTTGTGTGGCATCAACACCATCTGGATCATGACCACGCACTGCTCTCTTCAACATCTTCATATGACGCCATATGCGGATGACGTGTGCCACTTGCTTGTAGCGATTCTATCAGCCGGCTCAGAAGACATTCATAATCATGAAGGTAATCGACCCTTACTGATACCACATGAGTGCCAGAATTGTTGGTAATCTGCCGAAGAGCTTGAAAGAAGTCGTAGAGATTCATCTTTCCTTGTAAAGTGAGATGGTGAAAGAATTCCAGAGCTTGAAATGTGAAGGTGGTCTGTGCTCGATCAGTACTTGCAGGGAACCAACCAACATGCAGAAGTTGTTGCCAGCGGTACGTGAGGCCCTCGTAGAGTCCACTACACTGACAGAAGCAGACCTTGATGTCGTGGATGCCGTTGATGTCACATACACAAAGCAGATATGGTTTGCTTGGACTTTGGCATGGTTTTCCTGCATGACCTAGTCGATAAATGTAGCTGAGAGATGCTAATGTTGTGCTCTCAAAAAACGTGTCATTCCAATGCTGAAATATGAGCGGGTTAAGATAGTAAGTAGGTTGAGCAAGAATGAATAATGTACCTCAATGCGGTGAAGCGAGAGATCAGAATGAGCACCAAGAATGCATGTCTTGCACAGAAGAGGCTTCCCGGTGCATTCATGACAGCGAAAGCTTCCTAAGCTTGCACAGTTCTGGCAGGTCTGATGAGAAAATGCATCTGCAAGCCCATCTATATGGATTAGCTCCTCCAGAAATGTCTGGCAAAAAGGCAGCCAATTCAAGATCTTCTCCTACACTTACGGTCAGCATAAGGGTTACTATCGTCAGCTGCTCACATACCGATGCACGTTTATCGCTATGATCTCTCTTTTTTTCCCCCTTCTCCCAAGTCCATGCTATCTGTGACATTGTCATCTGCAACACAAGTAGCTCCGTCCTGATCATTGTCTTGGACTTTCAAGTCAGGGTGCTGCACCGGCTTGACTTGTACGTGTCTCACTCATTGTCCTAGGCACCCACTCTTTGTCGTATGCAGTGTGTATGACCATTGAACGTTCGCAGACATGGTAGGCTTATCATCAGTGATGGTGACTCGGCGTGTTTTCTTTGCAGTGCAAGAGCACTGGGATGAGCCAGTACGTTTGCTTGATTCTGCCATGAGAGGGAATAATCTGGCAATGATGATGCATGCAGCAAGAAGCCGAAAAGTTGAGACTGCGCTGAGCACTAGCCTCACCGAGATGGGCCACATGTGGACTAACAACCAATAGCTGCCCAATTGCTATACATTGTGCATAGAGGGTGTTCGCGCATTTACATGCATCTGACAGTATCTCTGAATATAATTCAAATCTCATTGATTGGTCACTTTCTAGCAACATCACACATGTATCTAAGGTGATACTCATTCAAAGAATATAGAACCATACCTAGATGATGTCGGCTTCCCCATCAGACAGTAGAACAGGACAGCATGAACTTCGTTGAAATCTGCAGTGTGTTCGTTAGCATGCTTGACGTATTATCGACACACTTTGCACCTCATAATGATGCTCATTCGCTTTCTTCATATGATCTGCGATGCTATCTCTTGCTCGCACCCACTCAAACCATTCCATCTTCGCAGTATGATTGGCCTCGAACAAGCCATGGTCGATTTTGCGCAACCTCTGCCGGAATAGAGTGCGTATCACAGCGCGCATTATAAAGTCCAGTATCAGAGCCTTTAGGATGACATGCGATAAGTATCCCATCCTGATGACAACATGAAACACTCGACTCACCTTATCCAGCAAAGCATAGCCAACATGCAGAGCAGCCTCCATGTGGCACAATAATTGTTGAGTGCGAGAGCTGCCATGCGCCATGCCTGAAATATATATGAGCTTCGAGCTTCAAGGGTAGGATGTCAGCAGAATGTCAAAATGTATCTGATGTATTGAAAGACTGTCACGACGATGTCACTCCTTTCAGACTCAGATAATGTCGATAGTATATGCAAATCAGCTATGAGCGGTCTAGAATGACAGCATCACTGAGAGAGAGAGAATCTGAGCAGCAACAGATGGCGCACCAAGTCAGAATGCAGAACATACCAAGCCCAAGCCCCTTCCAGATTGGCCTCATCATGAACTGAAGTAGTAAGACATCACATCTTATGCAGAGAAAAGAAGAGGGATGGGCAGTACTCACCACAGTGTCGATGGCGGCTGAAGCATTCTCCATGCCATCTGTTCCTATCTGCATCCCTTCAGGTGTCCTGGCACATCCTGAAGGAATATAGCATAGTGATATTAGAGGGACTCAGATTGCAAAACAGTAGAGCAGGTTAATGTACCTCCGATGCCGCTCAGCGACTCTACTCAAGCACCTTGGAACCCATGCTGCAGAGGACTGTGATAGCTGCATTGTGGCCAGGTTGTGGTGCTGCCCATATCCAAAGCGAGGACCAGTGATGCACCAGATTGCACTGTATAGAAGAGCAGCTGAGCACACAGGTCACGATAGTGGAGGGACGAGCTGCAGAAGCGAGACCGTTGCAGCCAGGTTGCGGTGCTGCTCCAAGCCACAGCGCGAGAAGGGGGGCACAGACTGCCATAAAAACATGAGCGATTGAGTACAGAGGTCTGATGTTGGGGAGGACGAGCTGAAAATGGGGACCTGGAAGCAGGACGTGAAGTACAGAATCGTGAACACGGGAAAAAGAGATATCTCGGACAAAGAGAAAGGTGGCCAGACGCCCATGAGCAATGCATCACCCATAGTCACACCAGTCAAATAATTTCTAGGGTGAATGTTCTTTATGCGTACACTGAATACGAAAATTGCGAACCAATCTGATATGTCTCAGAAGAGATATAAAGTATGTAGATATGATGCGACCCACGACCCTGAGCTCAGACGAGGTTATTAGCCACCACATTGAGTGACACCATGTCATGCTTGTGGCTGAGCATGCACAGTTTGTGATCTTCTACCCTGGGCTTATTGTGAACGCAATCCATGCCTCGCAAGCGTAAATCCTGTTCACGGTGCCGTCAATAGATCACAGATTAATTATATGCATTGATTCCCAATTTTCCCACTCTCCAGCTCATAAGCCAGGCCACAGGGGTGTGTCACGCTCGGCGCTTGCTGGGTCCATACTCGCAGCCGCAGAAAACACCATCTTCACACTCCCATTGCAGTGCTTGCGGACGGAAAAATCCGAAAATGATTTCAAAAATCGTGTTAGCATTGCCCCGAGCAACCTTGACAAATTGAAGTGTTCTTGGGAAGAACCTCATGCTACAGTAAGGTTTGATGAGCTTGAACGACACTTCAGCCACCCGTCCAGTGCTTCGCGCGCTCACTCAACGTTGCAACATTCAGCGTCTGGCTTCATCTATGCACGCTCATACTACTGTGCACCATGAATCAGTTACTTGAAGATAGCAATGACTGGCTATTTTATGAGGAGCACCTTCCAGCAAGAACTTATTATATCAGGTCAATTCCGTGTACTACAATGACCGCTTTGTTGCTAATTTGTGCAGCCTCATCAGCCACTGTCAGGCACATCTGCGATGTCAGCAATATTATAATGCAAGCATTTGAGCCTCTCGCAGGAAGTTGAGCAAGAGGGATCAGGCCGCTGCGAGGGAGAAAATGCGTCAGAAAGCGCATGGTCTACGTTGGTGAGTATTCAGGAATCAGCATCGTGTTATTTTCATTTTATTCAACTGAAGCGCAGTGTGTATGACAATCCTATTGCTCGCAAGTCCAGTCAGCATGACCCAGAACGCACACTGCAAATGGCTCGTGTGGAGATCTAGCTATGGAAAGAATTGCAAGACCTCAAGTCCGACTTCATCAGGGTGCACAGTTCTACATGGCTGCATTTTTATCTGACGAAACTCGATGTCAGGAAGCAGGGCTTGCTCATTAGCAGAAGCACTGATCTGCATTGCACTTGCTGGCTTGTCGCCATCTATCATCAGGAATTTGAGCTTCTACAGCAGGGCGTGCACAAGTATGAACAAGCCATCACTGATCATGCCCTGACTATCTTCGGGTGAGGGTATGTGGCTTTTCTGGATGATCGTTATGGCTGCTTACCCAGAACAATGATATAGAGTGAATAAAACATATTTTAAGAAGGTCTACGGCTTTTAAACATCATTCTTCAACTTATGAGCATTGTATATCTAATACATCATCTGCAATACACTTCGGGAGGAGGAGCTGGGGCAAGTGACACCACTCGTGACAATCATCGAGGTGTCTTTCGAATCCATGACCACAGCCAGCTCGGAGTCCTCTGAGGAGGTTGACATCATGTTGAACATCGGTGTATCTGAGCCTGAGGCACTCGCCAAAGGCAAAGTGCATGCCATGGTCGAGGAAATGCAGAATGCAGCTGAAGGAGAGCAGCATAAGACATCAGAAGAATTGAGTGCAAAACCAAGCCCATACCTGATGCCGCTTCCGCCGTCACTGCCTTCAGCGTTGCTGAACCCGGAGTACCCACATAAGCTGATGCCGATGCCGGTGGAAGGCCTTCCCAAGCAGCGGGTACCTTCAATCAGAGAGGTCATGTAACAAGCCATGGATGAAGAATGGGCTGAAGGAGAAGTGGATATGCCAATGCTCAGCCCGACGCAGCACCACGATCACGATGCGGAGAGCTCGAGCGAGGGTGAGGGCCCGGGGACGCCTCTGCCAGATATTGTGGCATTTGCGATGAACATTGTCATTTCGGTGAGTGTGGGTATGCATGATGAGTCAGATTCGTGTGTGCAGATGCTTGGAAATGCAGTTGGTAGTGAGCCAGGGAAGGGACAGGAGCAGGGGCAGAAGGAGGGCGAGAGGCTTTTTAGTTGGGGCATCGGGATTGGGGGAAGGTTGAGCGGGCATGCAGCATAGCATCCTGCCTTTGCTGTCACATAGATCTTGTGAGTGCAGCAGGATGAGGGAGCATGAATTTACCTTAGGACATTCTGTACATATTTTGGCCCAAATTTGCATGCATCTGAGAGTGGTGCACTTTTTGTGTGATGGGCTAACTTCGTACTGCAAATGAATCAACATTGATCGGCACAGACAACCACGTCGACCATTCTGACTAGTCATGAGCATGCACATCGTTATCCTGCAGTGGCTACATACCATGGTTCCATGTAAAACAGGTATAGATGCTCCTCATCTTCTGAGGATGGTGGTGCTACAAAATAATATAAAAACATTCAGCCCATGAAAATGTCGAACTTACTGTTAATCTCTACCTGTCCGACAAGAGACCCCAATTGAAAGTGGAGTTACGCATGTCATGCTAGGGTGGAGAAAACTGGTGTTAGACTGGGAAAGGCAATGAAATCACAGCAGCGTACATTGACCGCTGCCAAGACTCGATCGAGCCGCTTATGCGCCCACGAACTGGCAGCCAGTTAAAATTGGCAAAGACAGAAAGTACTCGAAATGTCAGGCAGCAAATGCCGCGTGTGACTTGTGAAGCGGTCTGAGCTGTAAAAATGATTTCAGTGAGACCAATATACCACTCCTGCCTGGGATTGAGCAGCGCAGTGACAGGATGGACAGAGATGGAGATGTGGATGGAGGCATATGGAGAGGATGACGGCTAGAGGGGCAGGACATTCAGCTCACCAGTTAGAGATGAATATCACATTATCCATTTGTGCAGTTTCTGGCAATTGTTGCTGTACTTGCAGCCTGAGCATTGTACCTGGTAGAGTAGTGGCTTCAGCTGCGAAACGTTTTGAACGATTCGTGAGATACACCTGTGAATGCATCGCACATCTGTTCCTTTCCCTCACTGTTGCCAGTATGTCTGGAAAAGAATGGACATCAGAAACACAGAACATATGGCTCGAACACAGGAGGGCAGCATTCTTGAATGCTCAGGAGATCAAAACCACCTCCGCTTTCATGTTGTCCACCTCTGAAGCTTGGTTCAGTGAGTTTGGTGTTGATCCACCCACTGCAAAGGAGCTACAGCAGGTGAATGGCAGCAAAGAGGCTGCCAATGTCATTGTAACAGAAAAGACGAAGAAAGTACGTCAATGCAACTCACCTGATCATCACTGCTTCTGATGGAATCTTGCAGCACCTGCGATGGTGGTTTGATAACCATACACACATTACATCATCTGGCAGTGGTTCGAAGAAGGTGCTCGACTTGACAAAGGGCCACAAGCAGAGATTGCACGCGTATCAAGCCTATTACAAGCTCTATACGGAGAAACTATGGCCAATCATCGACAAAAAGTATGCGACATACCTCAGTACCCTTCCATCTGGCACTGGTCCTCACAACAAGTGGGTATGTGGCAATGAGCTTGTCAAGCAGCTACTCATGGAGGAGACAGAGGACATGAAGGCTGAGGTGGAAAAGTTCTGTGACGTGTCAAGTGTAGCACCATTTAACTTCGAAGATGAGGTGGACGAGGAGTTGCCGAATGAGGAACAGAGTGCGAAGCAGAAAAGGGTGAAGGAGATGTCCGAGTATGTGCCTTTTCTCTGGATGCTGTGATAACGTGCTCACTTTCAAATTAATGTGATTGACAACCTTGCATGCACGGTGAAAGTTGCTCTTGATAGAATCGAAGAGCAAACTGGGTGAAAAGTAACAATCATTTGCGGTGGCCTGCATCCGACGCTGAAAAAGATTAGAACTATGGCATATGTTACTCACCTCCACTTGGCTCATTCCGTCTTGACACCCGGAGTAACCAGATACCATACGGGGATAACGAGGGACTCAGGCCACACATTTTCGCAAATCATCAGCACTGATTGGATGGAGAAAGTGGAGATGCCCTTTCATGAGTTTGTACAGAGATGCTATTGTAAGTGCCCTTGGCTGTGTGCAGTGTGATTTGATCAAAGTACTAAATTCACTCTACAGTGCCTGATTGAGAGGTGAGACTGGGGTTACCCAACACGAAAGAAAGCTCCTCCACAAATGCCAGCGCTCCTGCCTCACACTCTGGCACTCTCAACTTCCAGCCCACTCATGCACCCTTGGAGTCTGTGGAAGCCTCAAAAGAGAATGAAGACTCACTCTTAGTTACAGCACATGCTGGCTCCCCACACGAGTCCTCACCAGATTCATATGAGTTTGACAATGAAAGAGAGCAGAATATTGCTGCAGTGCATGCACTGTTCAAGCAATCAGGCCTCAATGATGATCTAGCGAAGCTCAAGGCCAAGGTCAAGAAAGGGAAAAGGTGAGAGCATGGCAGATCTGAAGTATTAAATCAGACTTTGGCTATTGGTCACAGGTACGTCGGTAGTCTGCATAATCTTTTGTGATCTCACTAATCTATGCATTTCAGTCAGTTACTCGCTACCAGCATCGTGGATCCATTAGATTCTGCACAAGGTTCCAGTGTGACAGGCTCTACATCGACCTCTATTCAAGCACCTCCGCCGCTGATCACTGCTTCTACAAGCAGTGCTGCGCTGACTCCTGCTTCTGTGTCAACTGTTACTCCCATATCGACCCTTCTCTCTGTGACTAAGGACACTGTGCCGACCTTGTCCTCCATGACTAGCACTGCACCAATCTTGTCCTCCACAATTAGTGCCACGCTAATTTCTGTTCTGACACCAGTCTCTGCTTTTGCATCAATCTCTGTGCCTACCTTTGTTGCAGAGAAGCTGAGCATTGGTGAGGCTGGCCTTCCCACCTGGATACAAGATGCGAGACAATATTTCACCGGTGTTACCGGTGTTGAATCCTGGAAGACTCTCGTCAACTCATGGCTCACATTTGAATATCGCCTGGGCTACCCGAATGGTTCTCATGCAAACTGGCTGGCATCAAAGGGACGTCCGGAAGAGATCAAACAGTGGATCAAGGAAGCTCGTCCATACAAAGCGAGTGCAGTCACCATCAATGTGAAGATGATTTCAGAAACTTGAAAGGGTTGGTGGAGGAACATTCAGCCTGTCGGACGTGTTCAGAGTGTAGAGTGGCCGCTTTTACAGAATGTGGAGCAGGACTTGAATTGGATGGGATTGGACCGTGGTGGATGCAACGGTATGTTCATGGTCATTGTTTCGTTGTCGTGGTGGGTGGCAGCAGCTCACTCAGACGCACAAGTTGTCGATGTGACACTTGCTGTTGAAGATGTGCTATGGGTGCTTGGACAGCTGGCCATGCATGACACTCGAAAGCGTTCTGCTACAGATAGTTCTGGATCCCCAAGCAAACGAGCACGTATGTCCAACTAATACCTCGAGATCTACCTTTGTTCATTTTGAAAAGGATGAACTGGCAAACTTAACACTGTCATGTACCTACAATGTTTTAAATTTTGCGTGGCTTCAATGTAGCCATGATGTGCTCAAAAATGTGTGCGAAGCTATGGTGCCCAGTTAGATATTTTGTTTATAAAATAGATATGTCCAAATTTAGCTATCATCATCATGTGACTGAATGTAGCCTGTCTTATTATGGTCTTACATAATATTTAGATATTTTTATTGCATTATCTGAGTCGTGACGTGTCAATGGCGTGAGACTAAGCTGAACTGAGCTGAGCTGAGTGACATAACTCGCTGTTAACTTAAACATCTGAGTTTTCTTAAGGTGAGTCATGACTCAACTCGTGAGTCCACCATAGATAAAAATGGACATTTGGAAGTAAGTAGCTGACCGTGTCAGAGATGTAATAGTTCAAAATTTAACAATAACTATGAAATTCAATGCATTGCATCACACTGAGTATGCAGTCTCATGATGATTTCTCTTACATTGACCAATAGAACACAGCCATCATATTATATAATGCCATCAGATGAGTCAGCGAGCTGTCTGAGTTGAGAACTCAGCTTGGCTTGACTCTCTAAGTTGAATGACTCAACATGCAAGTTGAGCTGAGTTTGCGAGTTGGGCTCAGCTTATTGATCACACTATGTGTCAAGCCTGAGCAATAATGAGAGATGATCTAATATGAATAAATGATAATGATGTTATAAATTTACATCGATAATTGAACTGCAGACACAAAGTACAGTTGCCTGTAACAAGTCTGGAGCTTAGGCCAGGCTGAGCTCAAACTGAGCTCAAGCCCTGTTAGAGGGCCCAGCTAGCAATTCTGGTAAACTTGAGTCTGCTGAAGCTGAGCTGGGCTCTGAAAAATACTAGTGATTATATAATGTCATCGTATAAGTTGATGAGCTGTCCAAGTTTCAGCCTAGCTTAATCCCTTAAGTTAACATGCGAGTCAAGCTGAGATCATGTGTTGAACTTAGCTTGTCACCCACACTGTTGAGATGTGTATTGAATAATTCTGAATTAGGTGTTCTTGTGGCGTGACCAAGCTTAGCCCACTCTACTATGTCCTTTTTTAATTTAGTGAATTTGTTGATTTATTCTTTATAGCTTTGAAGTCTTTCAGTTATCTCAGAAAAAAATTGAATAACTTTGATTTGCCTCTCACTGTGGTATAGCTGAAGCTGATCTGCGATATTATGTCTCTTTTATAACATAATTGTGCATTATCACTGAACAAGTGTGCTGTATTTTAAGCAGATTGATGATTTTCAATCCACATTTAACATTATAGATTATGAAGCTCTCTTTAAATGATATTATTCGCAAGAATGATCAACACCTGCAAGCAACTAAAATATACAATATAATCAAGATCTTGCATTGCAGTGTGCTTGAGGGCTAACACATTTATTCATGTCATCAATAGCACTACATTTTAGGCTGAATCACATTCTCGATTTCCTAGGATGCACAATGTGAAACAATCTTTCCCTGGACCTATTACAATGTGCATACAATCATTTACACAGATGATCTACAATGTTCAAAACCTCAATGCATTGTCAATTCTCTGGGATGCACAGTGTGAAACAATATCTTTCTTATTGTATTACAATGTGCATACAATCATGTACACAGATGATCTACAATGTTCAAAACCTCAATGCATTGTCAATTCTCTGAGATGCACAGTGTTTTCTAGTCTTACTACAATGTGCATACAATTATGTACAATGAAGACTTACAATGTACAATAACCTCAAGGACTTGTTCACATTCATTTTAGCACAGTGGTGAGTGATTGTACTACAATCATGGGACCCACTAGTGCCCTGTCTCGCATCTAAGTCGCACTCACTGTTATCACATTCGCTGTTTCTGTGCTTGCATAATGTCCTCAGTATGTCGTTCCAGCGCCCTAAGGCATACTACCGAAACCTTCGCCTGGCTGAGAAAAGCACGACGACGATTTATCCTACGCCCTCCACACTACCATCCTGTTCTGGCTTGTCCTCGAAGTGAGTTGACGATCCATCTAGTTCAATTGTCCCATCAAAGCATAGCGCAGATGACAATGACCCTGCGAACACCCACTTGATCGAGCTGTCACTCACATGCAAGACTCGATGTCCCAATGGTCTCAAAACCTTATTCTTGCCTGGCCCAGAGATGATCTTAACCCTACCTGGTCATATCCACTACACTCAAGCAGACCTCGGACGCAGACGCTGAGTGCACCATGATCCGAGACCATCATCGCCAGTGCACTCCCTTTCACCTTCCACCCATGATACCTTTGGCGGTCTCGCAGAACTTCCTGGGCACAACTCCATGTTCGATGCAGTCCACGTCACTCATCTTCAGGAACCCCCCGATCTTCGACGTGCACACGAACTGCGGAAGAAGGAGCGGCAATGGCAACGATGGGCAACAGAAACAATACTGTCGCTTATTCAGCCAAATCTCGAACTTCTCCATCAAACACGCTCTCTGTGACATATCAACTGCCATCTCGACAAGCTTTGTAGCTGTGGTGGCTTCCACGTCAGAAAGGTAAACATTGTTTGCGTTTTTTTTGAACGTGAGTACAGTTCATGAACGTTCGTGCACTGGTGACTGACATTTCATCAGATCTTAAGAAAATTTCAATCAACACCTGTGTATGCTCTCCGGTGGCCCTGCAACTCATTTTGCGTGGACTATTTCCATGTGCACCACAAGTTCTGACCCTCACAGTAGACGTGAACTTGCTCCACTTCATTCGGGAGCTGTTCGTGAGGCTTTCTCCAAACAATAGTGCATTCTGCGCGACATTGGAGGCTTTTCTTGGGGAACACAATTATAAGCTGTCTACGAAGGTGTGTACGAGCTTCAATCAGTCTTAGTTTTCGGGTACCTTACTAATTGAAGTAGGAGTCATTGCGGCGCCACTTCGGCAATGTGCTCCTTTGGTACTCGAACCTGATCAATGCAACAAGTCACACTATTCAATCATGCATTGAGGCCTCTCGTGCGAACCTCCTCAATATGGTGTCATCCCATGAACAGTCTTGTAATTTGGCAGGTTCATCAAATCGTCATATGTCCCCTCTTCCTTATCATCATTGGCTCATGTTGATGTCATAATTTACAGAAACTTCACCTTCATTACAAAGCAGTAGAGGAACCAGTGTGGCATCTACAGCAGAATGCTGTGAGGCTGATTGCAGCTATGAAGTTGATTGGTCCTCTTCCGAGGAACCTTCTGCCAAGGACGATCGGTCGAGGCCCAGCAAGTATCTCAGAGTGTGATGCCCTCTGTGCTTTGGAGGCTCGTACTCACACAGGGAAGATGGCATGTGCATATTTTTATAGTGACCAATTGGCTCTTACTGATAGATTGTCATGTTCAGGCCTAACTTCCTCATCTGTCTGGATGTGTGCTTTACCCAGAAGCGCAGAAAGGGCAAAGGTGATGAATGCGATCTTCCCAGGCAACACCCTGACAGTGTCTTCATTTCTCATGAAGACGTGCAGGAGATGGAAGATTATGTTGAGGAATGTCGTCCATCTCACCCAGGTCACAAGAACAAAAATTGAACTGCGTCAGCCACAGCATCAGCCAGTGGCGATGACGACGGTTATGAGGGGATGCTCACGATTCTGAAGTCTGTCCTGGATGGCTGTCAAGACTCCTTCCTTGCCACAGTCGAGAAGAGGGAGAAGGCAAGCATGCAGTTCTTCGTGGACACTGGGCTCATGGCACTTCTCTGCCATCATGACCGCGTACTTTGGCTTGTCAATATGACTTTAGTGGGTGAACGGCAACATTATGCGCTCACGTTGATTCAATGTTTCTTTGAACACTTACCTATCTCGGCAGTCATAGGTGTGCTGTATGACATTGCCTGCCAGCTTCACCGAAGTTGTGTGAAGTGGGGCTTCCTGCAGGACTTTTCTAATCGCATTTTGTTTGTGATCTCAATATTCCATGCCTATGGTCATCAGTGGCCCTGCCAGGTCATATATCATCCACGAAAATGTGTCGGATTTGGCCTAACGGATGGAGAGGGCTGTGAGCACTTTTGGAGCGCAATCAAAATTCTCATACTGAGCCTGCACATATCAGGGGTAAGCATATCTGTTAGTGCAGTATTCGAGACCTAACGCATGCTTTCAGTATCACCAATGGCTGTTCACCATCGACACCCAAGTGAAGCACTTGGATGAGCAGTCACTGCGATCGCTTGAGCATTGGCTTGGGAGGAAGTGGGCCAGTTGTCGATCAAAAAGGATGGCTGCTGAGGAAGAACTTGACAAGTGCAAAGTCCGAACGGATATACTGTGCAAGCAATGGGCAGAGCAGATAAAGCAGCAGACAAGGCCAATGCTGAGTAAGTCATTTCCACCTCTCTCGCTGACAATGATGACAAACAAGCTCTATACAATTAAGAACGATCAAATAACAAGGCTAAAGAAATGATTGAGAACATAATCGTGCTGCAGAAGGTCCTTGACAACCACAAAGCCACAGTGCATGAGCTCGAACAGCGGCTCATGGGGGATATTGACCTGCTTACAATCAGCGAACTCAACGTGCAATTAGACGAAGCATGAGACAAGCGTACCGTGGTCACACAAGCCATCACACGTAAGAAAGCTGCCCTCAGCATTGATGATCATGCAAGGCTCACCGCGCTGGCTAACAACTCAATTTTGCAGATTTGCATGAATGCGCGCACTCTGAAGTTGTGCATACGTGAACGTTTACCACAACGAAAGTTCGAACTTGAATGGTTAGAACGTTCATACCGACAGACCATTAATAGTGAGTCCTCTTTATGAATCACATTCTTCTGCTGAATCTCTCACAGATAGAAAGCTGACAAGTCACATGGAGTCTGCGGTCAAGCGTCGAGAGCCTGGTATCTTAAAGCTCACGAAGACATACAATAAGCTGTGCAAGGACCTCTCCGACTTGACGAAAGGTCGTCGAGCCCCCCCGTTTTGCCATAGCCCCTCGCCCAATTGAAACAAATGTTCTGTTTAAGCTCAACGTCGATGATGATATATGGCAGGATATTGGCCTGGACGATGAAGTCGAAAGCGGCCCAGTCCCACCTTGGCTTGGTGATGAGAAGGTACGTGTTGGTATCAAGAATCTTTTATTAGTGGACCGCTGCAAGGAGGAGGAGGCGAGATTGCAGGAGAAACGCTGTGCAATGCAGAAATGGTTGATGGAGCAGTGGAATTGCCTGGAGCATGCATCGGGTGATGCTGGTGAGTTTTTTTAGTGTTTTTTTGCATCTTTTTCATTGCATTGCTGCACAGGAGATGACGAGGACCTCAAATACCAGCTCGATCTCTGGCGTCATCATCTGTGCAACCTATGCATGACATGGCAGGGGCAGGTGTGCTTCATACCATGTGCGCGTGAGATGCCAGCCTCCTGGGATCCCTCACAAGAACAACTTCATGATGCCGCCGTGTACCAAGTCACTGGGGCCTGGGATGAGATCGACGATGATAGCACCACTAAAGAATGACAGCATGAAGCAACAACAGAGGATATCGACGATGAAGAATGTGATTTCAACTCGTCAGAGGCTGATGAAGAGGAGGTTGAATTGTTGGATGCAGTCGAGGACATTACATTCACTGATATGTATCGAATGTCCAATCATTTGGGTGAGATTGATGACCTTTTTTTCCCTTCTATAAGCTTTTTTGAGGTCATAGTGGCAGTTCATGCAAGTCTTGTCTCTTATCGACTTATAGTATACATACATTGTATTGTCTGTGAAATTGTAGAACATTAATTGATTTTCTCTAATAATTAAGATGCAAATGATCAGTTCAGGGTATACTTTTAGTTCAGTTTATCTGGAGCTGAAATTGTGGAGGGAAATCATGAACCTTCTGTATGATGGACACCTCCATGTAGGCCATAAGCTAGATAGAGATTAAAATTTAGTTAAATAATTCAGCCTTTCATATTATATGTTAATGCACACAAATCTGAGAGAACAATAATATGGACAGTCCTTTCATGCATATGGACTGCCCATGTGGAACTGATGAACATGTTCAACACAGCGTGGTGTTGACCTATTGAGCATATAATCAGTTCAATTTCATAATGTGAACAGTCATCACAAAGCATGGTCAATCCAATTTAATGATGTGGACAGTTCTTACAGACCATAACACCTATGGATTGACCCAAAACTAATGTGGTGCATCCAATCTGATGACTTGGGCAGTCCTTATAAATATTATAACACCTATGGATTGACCTAAAACTAATGTGGTGCACCCAATCTGATGACTTGGGCAGTCCTTATAAATATCATAACAGCTAGGATTGACCCAAAACTAATGCGGTGCACCCAATCTGATGACTTGGACGGTCCACACAAACTATCATGACAGCTACAGATTGACCCAAAATTAATGTGGTGCATCCAATCCGATGACTTGGGTAGTCCACACAAACTATCATGACAGCTACGGATCGACTCAGAAAGAATGTGGCAGCTGTCCTCTGATCTTCTTAGATGTACTAGTACATTAGACTATGTAATCTCAAGTGATGGTTCAAAAAAGCCTTGCCCTTGCATAGTATGCACAAAATTCAAGCCCAGGATTTGACAAAAATTAGCAGCTAATATTGCTGCAAATAGCCCATTTGGTACTGCCCAAATGACCCCCTGACACCACGTGACAACACTGATCATTGAGAACATCCCATAAAAAAGTCAGTAACAGCCCAAATGTCACATCAGAAAATGGTCAGTCCATGACATTATATAATGGTCACACCAGTATGACCATGCACAATCCCAACTATGGTACCTCCCAAAGGACCCACCAAGTACCCAAATGTATGGATATACCATCCTTGAGAAAGCTCTTAGCTTGAACCATCATGGTGAAATAGTTCAAGCTAAGAGCTTGAGATGAGGGGGGACCTGAAGTGATGAAGGAAGTGATGTGGAACAGAGCCCTGTCCTGGGCAGATGTATCTCTGGGAAAAAATGTGCAGCTACCAGTGATAGACACTTGGTAGGGGTGTAAAAGGTCCATCTTATTCTAATGTCATGGCACGCCGATAACAAAGATAGACAACCCAAACAATGAGTCCCCTTGGGGGTCTCTGGGTAAAAGCCTACAATGACGAGCTGTGGCGATACGACATGTCCACTAATGAGGCTGCAGTTGCTGTTCACAGAGAAGACTTACTGGTGAGGCAAGGGGCACTATCACAAAGTGTGGGAATGCAAATAGATGTATAGCACACTGAGAGTGTCTGGTATGACCCCTCTGTGATGGTAGTGCTGGACGAAGGAGAATAAGACTGGAGTCTCTCCTCGTTAGACCTGGTCGTTATATACATGATTGTTGTGCTACTGTACAGTACTACCTAAGCGAGTCACACGCTATTCTACTGGTCAGTGCTACAATCATACGACATGTCCTAATTATCCTGATTGGCTGCCTCATAATAACCCATGGAGGCGGAGCTCTCTTTGAGCACACAATATTGCATCATGACTATGGCAACATATGATGCAATGCCGAGGGGCTCAGTGTTACGTGACAATGCCGAGAGAGATCCGAGGTCATGTGACTAGATGCCTTGTTATCTTATCTCCCATTAGGTCACGTGATTCTTGTGCGACGCGAAATGATAAAAATAATATGCTTCCGATAGCATTTGTTCCTTTAATGACTTATCAGGTAAAAAACCATGACAGAAACCATACCTTGAACAATGTAAATTCGAGGGATATTTCGATGCCGATTTTGCCAATGATTGAAAATCGATCTCAGGATATGTTTTCCTGGTAGGCATGGGTGCGATAACACTGTCGCATTATCTATCATGGAAGCTGAATATACGGCATTTGCTCAAGCTGCAAAAGAGACGGTATGGCTGCGAAATCTATTCAAAGAAATAGGTTTTGAACAGACCGAACTGGCAATTTTGAACAGTGATAATATGAGCGCTATATCAATTGCGAAAGATCCACAATTTCATGTGAGATCAAAGCATTTTGATATCAGACATCATTATATTCGAGAAAAGTTAATGATGGATTTATTGAGGTAAAATATTGTTCGACAGGCGATATGACCGTGGACATCTTTATCAAGCCTCTTGCCAAGCCCCGGCATCAAAAGCTCATGGCATTATTAGGGATGCCCGTCGGCTTGAGGGGGAGTGTTGTGAATGCCCGGAGGAAGCAATCCAAGAGCACCCAGTGAAGTCATTGTGGCTGGCACCACATTACATAATATTTTCATATCTGTACTTATATATATGATAATCTGAATTAGGGAGCTCGGCATACAAGCCCGAGCTCTCCTTGCCCCACTCGCTCATCCTGCTCACTCGCTGTCCTGAATTCTGGTGAACTCTACAAGGGGTTTTCACAGTTGGCTTTCGTGTAGCTTTCGAGACAGCTTTCATGTCCTGGCTTTCACGATGCCCGAGGCTATTGCAGAATTTGCTGAAAGCGCCGCGCTGAGCTTTGAACAGCCCCTCAAAAGCCGCTTTAGACTCGATGCCTAGCTGACGCGTCTTTCGGCAGAGTCCCAATATATAAGAGTTTGAGTCGTGCGTCTGTGGCTGCAAACCTTCCTGTGGCATCACGTGAATCTGGCAGACCTGTCACAGACAGTGACTCACAGCGGCAAGCACATCTGTTACTATCGAGTGCTAATAGAAACGTTGCTCAATGTCATTTTAAAATAACATTAAACTGTGACTAAAGAAATGTTTTAAGTTAACGAAAAACATTTATATGGTTTTTTGTCATTGAATTTTTGAGTTGTGCAAGGTGCATTAGCTTTCCAGTGTTCTATCACTCTTCGTCACGCTATAATCACGTGATGCTGCAGGAAGGTTTGCAGCCACAGACACGTGACTCAAACTCTTATATATTGGAACTCCACCGAAAGATGTGTCAGCTAGGCATCGAGTCTAAAGCGGCTTTTGAGGGGCTGTTGAAAGCTCAGCGTGACGCTTTCAGCAAATTCTGCAATAGCCTCAAGCATCGCGAAAGCCAGGACATGAAAGTCGTCTCGAAAGCCGCACGAAAGCCAACTGTGAAAACCCCTATTGAGAAATCTGATATGTTTTCAGAGCTTGCACAATCATCCTCATTCCAGCATGCAGTTATCGATAGACTAAATAAGAAAAACAAAACTTACTGAAACAGAATTGTTACAGGAGACATGGTGCCATTTTCAAGTGTGTAATATGCTTAGCAAATGATAATTAGATAGTCAGATTCTAGTTCATTATTTGCATTGGTCGCAATTTGCAATAGCAAAATTAACATCTGAGACCATACATGGGATCATGCAAAATTCTACAGGGCAAATTCAAACTTCATAGAATACGCGTAGTCACAAATAATGGAAATATAATTGTAACCCACGCCAATCCGTTATGTTTGAATTTTTTGCGAGAAGTGTGATACTCCCAAACTATGGTTTGTAATATACCACAGTTTCATTGTGGCTATCATATTCTAGATTTGCGGCAGCACATGTAACGTCCACTTATTATGGTTGAAGGTTGACTATCTAATTATCATTTGTCACAGTATATAGCACCCTCGAAAATACCTCTATGTCTCCGGTGTGTGGCTGAAAGTATCCGCAAGGCGCTGATGCTAAACCGGATGTCTCCGGCATCGCTCTGACTCTCTGTCTCGTACTTGCTCATTGGCAAGGGCACTATCTCAAGTGAATGATGTGCTTGAACTCCGTAGAGCTGGCATCTGCTTCTTATCGTTGTTGTCATGTGCGAAGTCGACAGCAACTCACTGACTGAATATTAAAATAAGTTTGACATGTCGATGCTCTCAGGTTCACTATTGCCTCGACAATGCTTATTTGTCATTTCTGCATGCCAAGGCTCTGAGAACGCCTAGGCTACCTCGAAATTTATGCGATCTACGTGGACAGCCCAAGATTGAAGATATGCGACACTCGTTATCTCTGTTGTGCGAAAACCCGTCGTCGATCATGACCGCAACGTACTGAACAAAGAAGGATCTGCACATTGTCTGTATGATGAGCTATCGAGTGGCGTGATTTTTATGCCGTGGTAAGAACGCTCGTAAATGCTATGCCATATACGTTTCTTATTGCTTGATAGGGGGATCTCAGGCTGCTATTCCGTTCGGAAGCTCATTTAGCGCGTACTACCAAAGATATGGGCTGACGTAGTTTAAGGCACTAGAATCAAATGCATGGGGAGACTTTGGGCCGACAATAACGGCACGTCTTCCGCTGCATATTTCCGCGGAGAACTGGCGAAGTAATTTCACGCAGCATTAATACTGCGATCACGACGCGTGTTCATGCTACAGCCGGGTTTACACGAGCACATGTAACCGGTTGTAACCACGTAGCTGCCTCACAAATAGACGTTAAAGCGAATGGTAAACGTCATCCGCAGCGGTTGCCAAATCGACGCTGCACGGTCCAGGCACAGAACTACATGTGGGCGGAATTCTTGGTGAGTAATCTCACCTGGTCCGTTTTCATGACGCCTCGTGCACGGAAACTGGCTTCGACTGTTGATTGAATCCGTGCTTCCATTCGGATCCCATGTTTCGATTGCACTTGTCTTCCACGCTTATAAAAGGCGGCTGCGGCGTTCGAAGGTCGCCCATCTCGTTGATCTCGAGAAACAGTCCATAATCCTCGCTGTGTCTAAGATGTGGTGTGCGATTCCGTCCATATTTGCTGTGCTGCTCGGGTTCGTAACTTCCAGTTTTGAGCTACCGGTACTTCCTGTCTCGCAGGATATTCTATCCCTGCCCTCAATCGCGAGAAAAGATGCAAAGGTGCTCATCCTTGGCGGCGGCGTCTCTGGTGTTGTGGCCGCACGCACACTACATGAGCAAGGAATCTCCGACTTTCTCGTAGTGGAAGCGCGTCACGAACTTGGGGGCCGACTGATGAGTCATAGCTTTGGCTCACCCGGCCGTCGATATACAGTAGAACTCGGTGCCAACTGGGTGCAAGGAACGCAAAGCGGATATGGACCCGAGAATCCCATATGGAGTCTTGCGAAGAAGCACAACGTCAGCACACGCCCAAGCCACTATGTCACAAGTCTCAGTGCGTCATCGCCAATGTTTACTATAATTGACATCCAGCTGAAGTTATTCTGGAAGCCACATACGATGACACTGGTGCTGTGGACTACCTTGATGTGTTTGACGATGCCGTAGGGAGTTTCGAGCGCCTCGTGGCATCCGCAGGTATGTCTGACGAGCCTCTCTCCGCGGGGCGTGCGTTCACGAGGCCCTGATAGGTAGCCGGGTTCCGAAAAGGCTGGTGGACATGACCGCTCGCAGCGGCTATTCGCTGACAGGTGCCATACCTATCTCCCGCCACGCGATGGCGTCCGAGTACTATCAATTTGACTGGGAGTTCGGCACTACGCCGGAGGAGAATTCCTGGCTAGCCTCATCCTGGGTGCATCTCTTCGCATAACCCGATATCTCCTTGCTTGTGATGACTTGACGATGAGTCCACCGGCCGGGAGGTCGGCTCCCGAGTTTTACCACGTTGCTGATGTTCCTGGATAGGCGCACAACTACACGTTCAGCCCAGACTCGGGAGGGTTTTCTGACGACAACCTCTTCTCCATCGATGAGCGCGGATTCAAGGCATTGATACAATCGGAGGCTGACGCATTCATCAAACTGAACCAGCTTCGCCTGAACTCGACAGTGAAGGTGATATCCTCGTCCAAGAGAGGAGTAACGGTCACTCTCGTCGACGGAACAATATTGAAAGCGGACTACGCATTGTGTACGTTCAGTCTGGGAGTACTCCAGCATGGAGATGTGGCCTTCGAACCTGCCCTGCCTGCTTGGAAGCAAGAAGCAATATACAGCATGACAATGGTGACGTCCGCCCGAGGAATCTCCTTCATCATAGCAGGCACTGAACCCTTGGTGCGTGCAGGGCACCTATACGAAGATCTTCTTGCAGTTCCAGGAGAAGTTTTGGTTCGACACCGAGGTGCGTCAATAAGTCCGGGTTGGTTCACCAAGTCCGATCGCGATGATTATGCACTCATCCGCAGATGGCACTGTATGCCGATTATGAACGCGGTCGGTACCCAATCTGGCAGAGTCTCGATCATCCGGACTTTCTTCTCGGCTCTGGGATCATATTCGTAACAGTAACAGTAGGCTGCGTTAACCAGCTGACACTGACGCTTCGCGGGCTGAACCATTGTCTATCATTCAGGGCGAGTACTCAAAGCGCATCGAGTCGTTGCCGGACTCGCAGGTGCAAGAGGAGGTGCTTTCTGTTCTGAGATCGATGTTCCCTGACCGAGACGTGCCTGAGCCGTTGGACTTCTACTTCCAGCGGTGGCACAGCGACCCACTGTTCCGTGGAGCGTACTCCAGTTGGCCTGCGTCCTTCCTCAGCGAGCACCAGGGTAACCTGCGTGCGAATGTCGACGAGAGGTTGTGGTTTGCTGGTGAGGCAACTAGCAGGAAGTACTTCGGTGAGCATCGCTGGAAGTTGTCTTGCAACCCGTGCAGGTTGCCCATCGTTAATCATATCACCTAGGTTTTCTCCATGGTGCATATGCTGAAGGACTGGACATGGGACATACTCTGGCAGAATGCATCAAGGGTGGAGGTTGCCTTGGACTGGAGCACATTGAGCACGTCCAGAATGCGAGACCCTATGTCGACGCGTGAGAGTGCAATGTCTATTACCTGCCAGACTTTCATGCCTAAGCTTGTACAATTGTAACTGTAGCATTTCCACATCCTTGAGGTACCAGCTTGGCCAACTTTGTTGCGGCTGTTCATCGACATCTCTCTAGACCGGGAGCGGCATTGTTATTTTAGACGCCTTGCGAAGCAACTTGCTTTGACAGCTGCCTTACTTAAGGCATGCTTGGACTTCGTAGATCAACCTGTGCTACAATTTTCGTCTCAACCACTTCCCACCCCTACATCGAGGTAAGCACTTTATGTTATAATATAAAGATTCCCTTCATCTGTCTCAGACTCTCATCCTGACAAGCATTGAATTTTCGCTCTCCTGCATAGTCGATCGTATAACGTCGCAACCTCTTCTCACAATCAGCACCTCGTTGATGCGCCCAAAAGATTACCTTGCCAACTTTGGACTATTATTCGGCTTGGGAGACTTTACGCTTGAGTTGCGACTCACATGCATTGCGAGGCGGACATCCACCAATCTCACCGGGAAAACTGTGTCCATTCAATGTGTCAGGATACCCGCAGACGGTTCTCCACCTCACTTGCTCATTCTCCATACGATTGGCACCGGCAGAGTGCCAGCGCCAGACTGGTTCCTCGGTCACATCCCGGATGTGAGGCGCTATTGGCCAACGCCAAATGCATGGTCATTCCGCGACCACTGCCGCAGACTCCAGAGTCGTCGCAGGCGAACAGGTTGCGGGAGTCGATGGCGTATATTATGCGTTCACTAGCTTCGCGCTCGATGACCTCCCTCGCTCCGCGTCGTTCCCCAGCGCCTGTGGGGACGCGTTCACCGCCAAGGTCTCTGGACCCTCGGAACCCATGTCACGGGATGGCGGTTGGGTGGACTATCTCGATGTATAGGAGGACCTTGGAGTCGTACGCGTTCCGGCGCTGGATGAAACTTGGCCTTTTCGACGAGAACGGCGAGACCATTCGCAGGCCGCCTGGATGCCCTGAACGTCCTGAACGTCCTTCCTGGTTGATCAGTGCTGCATTCTGGTTGATAATTGCCACTGTCCTATACTATCACCTCCGGGAGGATTTGACATTCTTTGCCAACTCGGAACGGGGGTTTAAGGAGGAGAAGATATAGTGACCAATGCAGTTGTTATTAACGTTAATATTAGAAGTGTAGAAAAGAGGTGCTTTGGTAGTGGCCTTTGATACCGTGATAGCAAGACTCAGAGGAAACGTACGCATGCACATAGAGAGGATCCAGATTAACGTTTCTCGTAAGGGTCGGCTCTGATCACATGGCATTATATTGCATTAATAGCGCATGCAATATAGCGGGCCCTTCAGTCACGAACCAAGGCCATCTGACCCCGGTGCCATGTGCCATTGAAAGAGTCGGACCTGTGCGCGGTGATCTTGAACGACTGCCTAGTTCAGATATCTGGAATGTTTTCAAATCCTGCAGCTTCCGCGGCGTTGAATCAAGGTCAGCGCGTAACATCAATGAATGGAACGCCGTCATACGTAGATGGTTAGCTCACCTGCAGATCACGGATTTGAGTGCATAACTACTAGTGCATCTCACAACGATCTTGACGGCCTTTTAGGTACAAACTCTGCACAAGACAATAATTCTGATACTCGGATCCTCTGGGCCTATTCTCCGGGCAGCAGAGATGCACTGCAATGGCGTTCAAAATCGTAATATCATTGCAGCCGTACTCAAGTGGTATACGTAGCTCATGCAGTCTAGCGTAGTACGCGCAGACATAACAACAAAGCAGTACAGTAGTTATTATGCGAAACAAAAAAGTGAGATGCACGATGTTGGTCCAATGCGAGATGTGAGGAATCAGTATGCAGCTGTGTGGTGATACATCAGGAATGGAGCGACGGGGACCGTCGCGCCTCTATGAAAAGGGGGCGTGCAGGAGGCAGGCGCGCGGTTCACGCTTTCCATGTGCCCTTCTGCTTCGTGACTATCATCCGTGCGGTGGCCAAGCATGCCGTTCCTGCGAGGATGACGACCTGTTGATCAACGATGTCAGCATCGCTTTCGTACGCCGAGGCCAGAAAAGGGGTAGGCGGACGGAAGGGGTGGAGTCAGGCTAGGCACCGGTGGATACGGGAAGAAACGGAGATCTTGGCGATGAATAGGAATACGCACCCCACTGAAGATGATCGGCTTCGCCCAGGCATCGTGAGATCCGAGGAGCGCACCGTCGATTGGTGTGCCTGTGAGCAACGCAAGGGCGCTGAAGCAGTATCCAAAGCCTATGCGGACACTATTACAAGAATAGAACGTCAACTGCTTGGTCGCCTTAGCGGAGAACGAAGGACAACATACCCAATCTCTTCTGGGTGCTTCGCCATCGATGCAAACGTTGGTGGGAGGAGGGATATGACTGCATATATGCACCATTAAACTCACAATCGCAATCCAGCCAGGATCAAAAAAACACTTACACCCTCCGGAGAACGCGCCGTAGAGGATGGAGAATACAATTACGCCGCCGGGTGTCGTCGCGCCGAACATCACCCACAAAAGTCCGCCGATGATGAGCGAGACGGGCGTAAGCGTGTTGAACGCGCCGAAGCGGTCTGACAGAGCGTTCGGGACCGTTCGCCCTATGATGGACGCTGCGTTCAGGATAGAGATCTGCGAGAGCGGTCTAAGCTTTGAAAGACGATCAGAAATGGCGATGAAAACACACGCTGTAAAAGGCCAAGTTCTTCGAAAGTCCGTGCGCGTTGACGAACAGCTGAAGGTAGAAATCTACACGAACGTGCCCATGTCAGTTATAGCGGTTTTCATGAAACGATCAACGGAAAGACGTACACGGCAAGAACACACCCCACAATCCCAAGAAAGCGCCAATGTTCGCAATGATGTACGGTGGATCTGTCAGCACAGAGGAGATCTTCGGCTTATGGTCAGGTTCCGGGAGGCCCAAGCGTTTCCTGTCTCTCCGGCTCGGCAGACGTGTAGTCAGCGCGAAGTTCGCAATGACGAGCAGGCCGAGCGTCATGAAAGCTGCAGCGCGCACGCCCCATGCGAAGCCGACGCCGTTGTTGAATAGTTGATTGAGCATGATCGGATAGATGATACCACCGACGGAGGAGCCCGTCAGCACGAGACCCATGGCAAACGAGCGGCGCCGGCGCCAGTGGTGTGACTGAGCGGAGAGGGCGGGGACTAGAAGGCATCCTGCGCCGAGGCCGATGCCAATGCCTTGTGCGAGGATGAGCTCGTAATAGTGTGTCACGTCCGCGAGGGAGAGCATCATCATGCTGTTGGGAGACTGAGCGATCGAGATTGGGTGATATTGGTGACGAAATACGCACCAGAAAACAAGGAGAAGCGAGCCAAAGGCGATGAGATGGTGGAAGTAGCCCATGTCGAAGAGCTTCCCTGCTGGAAGACCCATGGTAAACAGGAAGAACAACTGTGGCACAAAAGTCAGAACGATTTAGACAGAGCAGGATGATGCTACAATCGCACCATCAGTGAACCAATCCAACTGATGTTCGAGGAGGTTTCTGTGCTGTGCTGGACATAGTAGTCTTCAAAAACTCCGAACGAGCTCGCGAACCCGAAAGTACAAAATGACACGAGCCACCTAGCGGCGGAGATCAGCAATCGTTCATCCTTGCTTCTTCATCGCGCACGCATATACTCACCCGCCCACGATAGACATCCATGCCTGAAATCCTCCATCGGGTATGACGATCTGGTTAGCTGGAGGTGCGGATTTCTCGACATCAACCACAGGCGTCGGAGACTGGGTGTCGTTCTCCTGCGACTGCTCGCGATGAGAAGCCTTTTCTTCGAAGGTGATTTGTTCGTCGGGCATTTTGGTCGAGGGTGCATACACGACGTGCGGGGACAACGACAGGAAAGGCGCATGCCGCACGAAGACTCGGAATTATATATAACGATCATTTCCACGCGGGTTCGGTGGGGGAGATTGACAACCGAACCCCGTCTGTTCGCATCCTCCATGGGCGTCATCAATAGAAGCCCGACTTCTCCGGCCGCATGACCGAGCATGTCCCTAGACGCCCCAGTTATGGCAACCACCTCGGTCAAGGCCTCGGTCACCGAGGCTCATCCCCGCACAAATGCGGATGATCCGCAGCCGCCGCAATATGTCGCCACTGCATGTTCGTATGGTACCGGTGATAGCCCGAGGGCAAGTACGCCTGGCGCGCAACGCAGGTATCAGTACTCTTTAAGTTACTTCCAAAGACAAGGAGGAGAGCGACAAACAGAAACTGTTAATGGACTACTGAAAATACTGGGACGCACGACAACTCAGGCCGCAACGTTCGGTGGCCGATTGTTAGCTAAGTGGCAACATTGCCAACACCGCAGGAAGAACTGATCTGATCGGCGATTCATGAGATGAATCTGATGCGCCTGCAACCGGCATCTTGCGTCGGTAACTTTGCAAAGACAAAGCTTGACCGGTGGCCTGGACCAGTTGGCAAAAGTGATATAAATAGAGCCCTGATGCGTACAATATGCTGGACAAGGCTCGTAAACGAGCTACGAATAAACTCAGTGCTTGGTCCATGTACGGGGCATAGAGAAAAGCCGAGAGTCCACTCACCTAAATGCGGAATCAGGCCCCGAGGAGATAAACCGGCCCGCTTCATGACAGAACGCCTTCGCGTACGAAGCTCCGTCACACTGCATGCCTCGGTAAACATACCTCCACCGTCACGAACGATCTTTCGAGTCTACGGGACTGCACCATTATCAGTGTCAGCCGTCCACGAAGAGGTACCAATGTGCGATCCAGGGTAGATACCGCGGTCCAATGTGACGAATAGGGAGCACAGCATCACAACTTCGCAAATCTTGATTAAAGCGCATGGCACCGAAGAAGAACGATATTATCGCATGTGCGTGCTATTGGGGTTGACACATCAGAAATCGGGAAAACGAGCGCTGCTCAGGGACCATACATACAATACATTAAGGGATTGGACGGGCATGACTTGACAGAGATACAGCTCTAGAAGCCATCTATCTGAACAGCAGTGCACGCATAAACAAAGAGAAACGCAATGTTTGCCGGATATCCTGTGCAGCAAGGGAAAGGTGGCTAGAACAACGGAATGTGAAGATCGACGGTCGATAGGATCGTCGCAGAATATACTAGCGCTTCCGCTGCATGCACGCATAACCGTGCATACTTATGCGCTAGAACAGCATATGAGAAACATCTTTGAAGCCGACGGATCCAGTTTGACTATAAGGGATACATATCAGCAGCGTCTATCCAAGCATCGTGCTCGCACCAGCACCCGTGACATGAAGAAGATGCACACGGATGGTCGACGAAGATCAGGCCATGACGAATCCGCCTTTGCAAAGCATATCGATACAGGTTCTTGGCGATCAGGAGCACGAGCGCCTAAGAACATCAACTGGAGAGGCATCATATGCCTGACGAAGAGAACACAAACAGATCTCATTATGAGCTCCTATGACGAAGAATACCAATAGATCTGTGTACGTTCATGAAGATTGACATTGCGTCTATCACTCAACACATACAACTTCGCCAGGAACGCCTCCGGATAGTGTATTCGAGAGTCTGAAGGAGATACCTACCGGGAGAAAATATTTTCGCCACTCAAACTTGATATAGAGGCTGTCCGGACCGTGACACCGTTCCAACCAGAGATGGATACAAGTCTGTTGATAGCGAGCCTTTCATTGCAGTCGATGACTTCAGAGATGCGTGAATGCCATGTCGATCTAAAAGACCAGCCTAGGAATATCAAGACGTGTATCATCAGTCGTCTGAACGCCAGCTCGTGCCGTCAATGCACAAAGCGTCCGCTGCTTGCAGTTGCGAATGATTCGCGCATATCGCCACTGAGTCATGCAACTTTTTTTCGTAGATTTTGACGAGGTCTGCAGAGGCCGAACAGCAGATTTCACCTTGCATCAGTCGCATGCATAGAGGAGGAAACGAACAAGAGCGGTGTGACAAGGAGATGCATTTAGCGCCGTGCACGGATCATCCCGTATGAGCGCTTGTTGTGGGCTTGTTGTGGTCTGCGGGGTTAATATTGGCGGCGCCGATGAAGTATTCCATCATCCATGGCCCTGTACGACCTGCCAGGCAAGTGAGCTGGAATTGCAGTAAACTAAACGCCCTTTTTTTCTCTGGACTATCTGTATGGCGGCCCATGCGTTGAAAAATCTCGACTGAGGCCGCTCGTGTGCTTGCGGCATCAGGAAATGTGCTGTGCATAACGACGTACTTGAAAATCAGACCCGAGAGCAGTACTATGACTCAACTTCCCCTCCCGATCCTCCTAGGATTGCATCACAGATTGGAAAGAGCCCGTCTTAGCCGGTCCCGTCGACTCAATGGTCGCAAGCAGGCGTTTGACCGACTCTTCTGGAGTCAAAGTTCTGAAGTCTGGCACGGTCTGTCGGAGTCTTGCCACCAGCCCCGCGATGATTTCCTTCGCTGCATCATCCCGTGTAGCTGTATGTTGCACGAGCCCCATTATTTAACAAACACGAGATGCAATGCGGCATGCTCACGATTATCCACCGCAATCGCGGACACGTCCACCACGCCAGGACTCAGAGTCACCACTGTGAAGCCCTCGTACTCGAGCAAGGCAGCGTACTTCATCGCGACCATCGCCTCCGCGGCTTTAGTCGTGCCATACGCTGCCACGCTGCTGACACGCATTTTCCACACGAAATCACGGTTGCCGCCTTCGCTGCCGATGATGACGACCTTCTTCATTGTGCCACGACGGAGGAGGGGCAGAAACGCATTCACGGAAGGAATGACGCCTAGTACGTTGACCTTGTACTGCAGACCGTTGTATAAGTTCTGCACTCAGAAGAACTGATGTGTCTTCATCCTCGCTACAGCACGCAGCTTGAGTTACTTATCATACGGATTTGATGATTTCACCTACTACTCCATTAGCCCTCGAAATAGATTTACGCCTTCCATGCGTGCAGCGTTATGGATGAGTACGTCAAAAGCTCCTCCACCAATCTGCGTCACCTGCTTGGCAACGGCCTGTCCATGGCGTCAATCGTCAGCTTTCTCTGGGCTGAGCAAGCCTGACATACCTCCAGAGCACGATGGTCGGCAACGTCTGCCTCAAATATATGCACATTTCCGGTTGGAAGCGTGGAAACAAGGTTATTCGTCAGATGCGTCGCTGTTGCCTTCTTCCTCACAATGGCGTATACGACATTGTCTCGATTGGACGACTGTAGAGTCGCTTCGATCAGCACAGCGAAGCTGACGGACCGCAAGTTTTCAGACATACTAGTTGATGGACCAGCTCGAGACCAATACCTCTAGAGGCACCGACCACAGCGTATGTCGATATCGAGTTTCGCAACGAAGATTGACGCTTACAACTAACTGGCGGATTGCCTTACCCCTTCACGCCTGCGGCCATGAAAGTTAAATACTAGTAGGTATGCCTTGGCGGCAACGGCAGTTCATGCCGCGTCATTGCTACGGCTGTAGGACCCACATCATCCTGAAAGTCGGTCGCACAGCGCCCATTGCTGACTTGTATGGACGACCGGCCGACTAGACATAACGAGCAAATATGAATACTTAGGCTCTGCAACTTCGATCGCATATTGTGCACACGAGGTATTACAGACAACGTGCGATATAGGTCTCTGGTATCCCTGGGGTCGTTGCATCGAAGGACAAAAAGAGCCCGTCTCAGCCGCCATAGCGGCAAGTTTTATACGGGCAGCAGAGAGTATGAGGACTGGATCTGCAACGTCTCATTCGAGCAGGAGTCCGTTAAATTAAAGCTGGTGGCATCTGTATAACGGCAATATGATTGATACGGTTGCGTGAATGTTGCGGCCATTGGACGTTGGACCCACATCAGTCGACGGATGCCCACATTAGTGCACGGCTGACCGTGCAGCGCCACGCACAAGCTGTAGAAGACGAAAAAGCTTTCGATTATTACTATATCTCACTTCTTTGAAGCCCCTCAATACTAGAAATTAGCGACGCTCATGTTGGTCTTCTTCGCTTGATGTTCGGTCGGCGCTAGGCAGAGATCAGCCCATATGAGCTTTTTCATGCACTAAGGTAGACAAATAGGAGCATGATGTGTGAATGCATGCTAATGCATGAGGCCTGAGTGCTTCAAGACTGCCGAACGTTTGAATGTGACTCATGCTGACAGACTACGCCAGCACTGCCGATTTCAACGTGTGGGCAGTTCCAGGGGCTTTTCATTGCAAGGTCCAGCATGATAATCTTCATGATTTGTTTATATCTTGGTAAGTTTTCACATTTTCAGAGCGTAAACTATAGCATTTGTGAATAAGATCTAATAAGAGCTCGAGCAGAGATGGCCGAGCGCGACGCGACACGACGGACCCCCGTTCATCACGTGATCGCGTTCCCCGCTGTGGCAACGGAGGTGACACGACTTCCTTCGCTTTTGCAACTTTCACACTCCTCTGCTGCCAGAAGTGCCGCAGACCAGCTCACCACACGAACTCATCATCATGCACGAACAGCAGCTTCCCCTGCGTCCAATCGTCGTTGTGACCGGTTCGAATGGGTATGTCCAGCTGCCCCTTGCACGAGTTCTCGCTTTATTTACGTGCAAGGTACCCAGAGGTGTGGGATTTGGGATCTGTCACCGTCTCCTGTGCCAACTCGCGCAACGGAATCCACCAGACGCAGAACCACGATTCACCTCCCTTCTCCCTCCCGATGTCCAGCCTGGACGTCAGTTCGACGTGGACCACAGCGAAGTAGGCATGACTCTTGTCATGGCATGTCGAAGTGCTCTGCGGGCCCAGCGTGCAAAGATGCAGTTGGAGGAACTCTTGGAAGCTTTCGTTGAAAAAATACCGAGAGGCACAAAGGAGTACGGATACGCACTCAGATACATGGAGAACGTGCGCATAGATATATGTCAAGTGGACCTGAGCGACGTTGGGAGTGTTCTGCGGTGTGGGAGAGAGATTACACGGAGGTACGTGCCTATGTTTTATTTATACGGGTTTGTCTCACGTTGTAGTTGCTGCTGCACGGCGCACGACAGTTATCCGTACGTCTCACACCTAATTTGTAACGCAGGCCTGGCGACCTACAGTCATCTAGACTTCGGTGTATTCTTTCGGCAGGCGTTTGCCTCACCGACCGCCGCTGTGCGGAATCCAGCCTTTAATATTCAGAAAGCGGGCGTGCTCAGCAAGGATAACCTGGGTTACGTTTGGCAGTGTAACGTTTTCGGCCATTACGTGCTCGTGAGTTTATCATTTGCCAGATGATCTGCTATGCTGCTCTGACGATAATGCAGTAGAAGTTTGGCTGATTTTATCTTTTCTAGTTTCGTAGCCTGCAATCCGCACTTTCTGCGTATGCTCTCCATTGTCCATCACGATCACAATCACAATCGCCCGCGCGTGTTGTCTGGCTATCGTCCGTCGATGCGCTGCCAACATACGACCCCATCTCTGATTGGCAGCTGACGAAAACGGACAAGTCGTATCAAGCATCCAAGGCTCAAATAGACTACATGGTAATGGAGCTTGCACAAAAATCGAATCTGATGTCGCAGGCTACAAGGCAAGATTGTGGGACGGCTCAGGGAAAGATTGATCACTTGCTTGTGTCGCCGGGTATTACCTCGACGAAAGTTGCGGCAGACTTGTTGAGGCCAAAAATTCTGGAGTATTGCATGCTGGCATTCTTTTATTTTGTGCGTTTAGTTTTCCTCATCCTGCGCGGCTTTTCTGAACGATGCATGCAGTGCCGCTTACTTGGCTCACCTCACCTTCTGTTCTCCACCTACAAAGCTGCCATTGCCGCGTCGTACGCCGCGCTCACGCCTTCGACGAGTATACCCGCCTTCACCTCCTTCGACGAACAAGCCAATATCGACGGCAACATTTCCTATGCCGATGTCGCAAACACGGCTATGGATGCACGAGCGTATCCGAAGTTCAGCGCCATGAGCGACCGCTGGGGACATGAGCATGTTGGCATTGTACCCGTCGTGCGGTGGGAGAAGCACCCAGACGAAGGTCGTGCGGCGTTGGAGAGATGTGAAAGGCTGTATAAGGCCTTCGTAAAGGCTGAGGGTGTCGAGGGGAAGGCAGAGAATGGGCACGCGGACAATTCTGGAGAGAAAAGGGCGTGATGTGCGGTGGGCACTAGGGGATCGGAATGCTCTGTTCTTGGTCTGCGCTTCAAGCGTATGTTTCCTCCCACAATTGACCTTGGTACTGTGATGCACGCCAGTATAAACAATCTTGAACAGACTTTAGTTGCATATTTCGTAGCACGTATCTGTGTATACCTCACTTACTTCGTGGATTGCTTTGAACCCGCATATACAAAGTATGAATTTGCTGCACACGATGGATGATGCATTGATGTCGCTCGGCTAAATCACACTCGACTCGCTCGCCGTCATCTGCGCTTCAAGTCCCGGGGGCGCATGTGGCCCGCTACAACATTTCCGTCTCGTACGCGTACCATCACTCCCTTCACTCCCGTGGTCACTCCAGTCTCGTCTCCCACTCAACATTGAAGTCGCACGTCAGACTCGAAGCTCGAGAACTCGAAGAATCAAACAGCCCTCCTATCATTTGTGACCTGCCTTGCTGCTGCACGAAATTCTCTTCTGAGCGAGCCCTGTTCCTCACTACCACAATGCCTGCATTCGAGCCCGACAAATGGATTGAGCAGCTCAGAGAGTGCCAGTATCTTCCTGAAGCTGACATGAAAGCCCTGTGCGAGCGCGTCCGCACCATTCTCATCGAGGAGTCCAACATCCAGCCAGTGTCGAGCCCAGTCACTATCTGCGGCGACATCCACGGCCAGTTCTGGGACCTGCTCGAGTTGCTGAGGAAGGGCGGCGAGGTGCCCACGACGAGCTACATCTTCATGGCACGTAGGTGCTCGACGCGTGGGGTAGGGGCGCTGCTCACCGTGCGGTGCAGGGCGACTTTGTGGATAGAGGGCACTATAGCTTGGAGACAGTGTCGCTTTTGCTGGTCCTTAAGGCAAAGTATGCACGGATCTCTTCTACCTCCATGTTCCCCTTGTTCCAACCGTCTGCTGCTAGGTACCCGAACAAGGTGACATTATTGCGAGGAAACCACGAGAGTCGGCAGATCACGCAGGTGTATGGCTTCTACGGTAAGCTGCTCTCCGCTATGTGATTCATCGTAACTGCAACTATGCGGCCTACAGATGAATGCCAGCAAAAGTACGGGAGTGCTTTGGTCTGGAAGGCGTGTTGTAGCGTGTTCGACTACCTCAATCTCGCCGCCGTACGTCGCCTCTGTCCATTGTCTGCCCCTCCCAGGGTGCTCGGCATTACACTTACCCTTCCTTACTTGTGAAGATCATCGATGGCGAGACACTCTGTGTACACGGCGGGTTGTCACCCGATATTCGCACTCTCGACCAGATCCGCGTCCTCTCGCGCGCGCAGGAAATACCACACGAGGGCGCATTCTGTGGCAAGTGCTACTTCGTTCTCATGCTACTCCCAGGTACTTACCTCCACCAGATCTCATGTGGTCTGATCCCGATGAGATCGAGAACTGGGCGATCAGCCCGCGCGGCGCAGGATGGCTGTTCGGAGGGAATGTCACGCGGGAGGTTCGCCCTGTTTTCGTAAGCTGACATCTCATATCGCTCAATGGCCCTGCCTAGTTCACACACGTCAACGCGTTGACACTCATCGCGAGGGCGCATCAGCTCGTCCAGGAGGGATACAAGTACATGTTCGACGAGACGCTCGTCACTGTATGGAGCGCGCCGAATTACTGCTACCGCTGTGGGAACATGGCGAGCATACTGACCGTCGGTGAGAAGGGTGAGCGGCGCTTTACGGTCTTTGGCGCGGCTCCGGAGAATGAGAGGGACTTGCGGGAGGGGAGAGGACGCGGAAGGGTGAGTGTGCATCTAAATCTGTATGCTAGGTGGTGACATGGCTGATCATGGTGATTACGGTGACGACGCGTACAGGGCGCCGTTTCATCATATTTTGTATGAACACTGTATCCATACCTCGCTATCTTTATTCTTGCTGTTTCTTCCACTGCAGACCTGAATTAAAGGCTCTGCGGGAATGAAATGCGTCATCTGTGCCCTCGACATGCATGTATTTTCTAACCTGTCGAGATTTCGGACGCGATGTGGGTCATACTTTCTGGTATTTTTCCTCGCAAATTGAACCAGGAATCACTGACGAGGGGCTCCGTAAGCAACATCAAAATTCCGCTTCAATATCTATCATTCGTTGCTCAAGGTAGGGGTTGCCAGGAACTGTGCTTGCATCGATGCGTTATGGCCAAATCTTTCACACTGGCCATCGATCAAGTACGTGGAATTTGTTTGGCATCCGATGGAAGCGATTGACGGCAGAAGTCCCAGAAAACTGTATGTTCTTGCAGATCCTTTCCCATGTCTCCGCTTCCTCCATCCTTTTCTGGCCCTCTAGAGTGTTCTGGAGCTTTGGCATGCTATACCTCCTTCGCGCTCCAAAGCAATTGATGGGAGTTCTGGTGAACACTCGTCGCTCTCACACTATGCCTCCTTGCTTAAATCATATCTTCTGCTGATACGTTGATGCTCTGCAGCAGGAATTATCATAAATAACAACAGCGTTCCTTAGCTAATACTGTGCGCTGTGTCTCGCATTGAAGGCTACGGTTTCGGCTGGCGCCCATCTTCGCTGACGCAAGGTTAGACGCACATGGTTCTCCTTCTCTTTGCGCGTGCATTGTGGAGAAGCGTCGGCGGGCATTGTAGTGCACATTCTCAGAGCTCACAGCAGCATGTGGCAGTTTGGTTGATGTAGATCTATCGCTCGTTCTGACTTTGATTGTTGCCACGACCTCGATATAAGCACAACGGTCAAAAGCGACGTGTTGTCAAGGCGCGTCAAGTGGAACGCCTAAGATGGAAACAATTAGAAGCTTTAACGACGCATGGTCGAGTTCCATTTCGCGAATATAATTCTGATCAGCTGTCCATGCCAGGTGTCCATGTCACTGCCTCCGCTGCCAGCACCGCGTGTGTGAGCAAGCACCCATCTGCCTAGAGCGGCCTTCCTGGAGCGAATATAACCAGCGAGCACATCCCTCTGTCCCTTGTTCGGCTCAGTGTACTCGCATAGTATCGCGACGATGTGGAGCGGTGTGTTGGCTTCCGTCCTTCTCGTAGTGCCCGCGCTCGCTGCGTCGGCAGACGAATGGCGCAGCCGCTCCATATATCAGGTACGCTTGCGTATGTATGAAATGAATCTCGCCCTGACTGGTCACCTGCTTAGCTTGTGACGGATAGGTTTGCTACGACGGACGGCGACTGGCCCGCATGCGACACAGAAGACAGGGTATACTGCGGCGGCACGTGGCAGGGTATCATCAACAAGCTTGACTACATCCAGAACATGGGATTCGATGCTATCTGGATCTCCCCGATCGTCGCCAATCTTGAGGGTAATACGGGTGACGGAGAGTCTTACCATGGGTGAGGACTTGAACGCTTGATAATTTCCAAATCGACATCTGCTCATTATCAGATTAGGTACTGGACCGTGGACCAGAATTCTCTGAACTACCATTTTGGTTCAGAGGGTGACTTGCTCGCGCTCAGTTCTGCTCTACACGACCGTGGCATGTACCTCATGCTCGATGTCGTCGTGAACCACATGGGCGCTGACACGCTGCCTCCGGACTACTCGCTCTTCTCCCCCTTCAACTCATCTTCGGACTTTCACACGTTCTGCTGGATCACGGACTACAACAACCAGACAAATGTTGAACAATGCTGGCTCGGCGATGATAACGTACCTCTGGCTGACATGGACACGGAAGCCGATAACGTCATCGAGTTCTTCTACAACTGGATCACTCGGCTGGTGAATGACTACGGTGCGGATGGAGTCCGAATTGATACCGTCAAACATATCAGGAAGACATTCTGGCCCGAATTTGCAACCGCCGCCGGAGCTTTCACGGTCGGCGAAATATTCGACGGCAGTGTGGACTACGTTGCTCCTTATACCGGTACGTTCCTGGTGTGAGCTGCTTCCGCCCTGATTCAAACTCGCTCATTCTCTGTTAGAGGTCGTTGATGCTGTACTCGACTACCCGACGTACTATCAGCTCACCTACGCCTTCCAATCGACCAGCGGTTCTATCTCCAATCTTGTCGATGTCGTACAATCAGCACAGTCGTCCTACAAGAACGGCGAGTTCATGGCAGGATCTTTCCTTGAAAATCAAGACAATCCACGTTTCCAGTCTTTGACGACAGATCAGTCGGTGTGTCGCAGTTTTGTTGACCTATCTTTACCTATGTATTCGACGGCTCTCGATTGTCTAGCTGGTGAAAAATGCTATGGCTTGGCCCTTCATTCAGGACGGTGTTCCGATCCTTTATTATGGTATATCACGTCTACATTTGCTGAGCGACCGATACTGATTGGATTACTCGATGACAATAGGTCAGGAACAAGGGTACACCGGTGGAAATGATCCATATAATCGTGAAGCGTACGTTTGATATCCTTTATCCCAGCATTCGTTTTGATCTTAAGTTTCAATCATTGTAGGCTTTGGCTCTCCGGCTACGTCGAGGATAAACCTCTTGTCAAACATGTAAGGACGCTGAACGCGGCACGGAAGGCCGCCATCAACGCAAGCTCTGAGTTCCTGTATACCGCTGTAAGAATAACACAGACTAGTTGCTCTCAGCTTGCGATGTGACGTGCTGATATCTTCTTCTTATGTCCAGCTGACGTTCCCCTCAGTCGAGTCCTCTACTTTGGCTGTTTCCAAATATCCGATGCTTAGCCTCCTTACAAACGGAGGAGAGAGCAGCACGCCTTCGTGGAGCGTATCTGACACCGGATTCTCAGCGGGCACGGAGCTGATCGACGTGCTGAATTGCACGACGTACACCGTGGACAGTAGCCGTGGCCTGGACGTTACGGGCTATGACGGCCTGCCGATAGTGAGTCATGCTTTCATCGAACCTTCAACTGGGAGCTTATTTGACACGCTCGCACTCCAGGTGCTCCTGCCGATTTCTGCATTCAACTCTACATACTGCAAGGATTTACTTGGCTCGTACTATTCGTCTGAGGGATATGCAGGCCAGTCGTCCCTAACGTTGCCTGTAGATTAGGTTTCTCGCCCAACGATATGATAGAGACTTGTCTACAGATCGAGATTCGCACCACCATCCGAAGACTTTCCTGTGACCGATATCAAGAATCCAGTGATGTTGCGCATGCCAGAGAATGGTCCAATTCTTGCTTACCTTTCTCGTTGCTCGCAGGTGCTTCTGACGAAATACAGCTCAGCTGAGGATACAGGCCCGGATAATGACCTGGCACTCTCCTAAGCAGTGTCATGATCAGATTGCAACTCCCTTATGCATAATAAAACAGTGTGACGTCCAGGATACATAATTGTAGTTGAAGATGCCCCGTCCGTGTCCGTAGGTGCTGTATCGGATAAGTTATGTGAATTCTATCAGGACACATATTCCATCATTGGAAAAGCTCGCAATCCTGTGCTGCCCCAGCTCTGCCGCCCGTAAATCATAGCGATCGAATGGTGCTGGACCGGGGACGCATGTCTGTCTCCTGGGTTTCGTTCTGCTGGAAAAAGCGAATCCTATGAACGATGTCAGTGTTGGAGGTGCTGACCATCGAGTTGTGGTCTTACAAGTCTTCCAGTGCTCCCCTTGCCATTACCAATGTACGTTCCGGTGAATGTCGTGTCATAGATGACCCACTGTGCTGGAATCCTGTATAATAGGACCACTGGCACCAATAATATTCCTTTATTTCCGGTGGTTTGTAAAGAAGCTGGGTGGTCCCCTCTAAGTATCTTCGCAAGTCAGAGCACACTTCTTGGATGCGCCGTTGGGTGGTTTCTTGTAGAGACACACGTAAAGACAGGTCTGCGAGTGACCGTACCAACCAGGAACATAGGTGAAGGTCTTGCGCTTGCGTGATGCAGTCGTAAAATGACTCTGATATCACTGAGCACCAGTCTATGGCAGATAATGTTGCATATAATGAGCGCCATTGACTTTCACGATGACTCGGCCATGTAATCATACCTAGCTCGCCGGGCTCGAAGGAGAACCTGCCGCCAGCTACAGCCATTAACCTCAGCAATAACAGACGAGCAGGTGGTGATATTGCTGGGTTTTCTAGTGCCATGAAGAAACGGTGGTAGATGGGCTCCACAGAGTCAGGCATGTAGTCGAGTAGGTGGAACACAAGTCGGACAATGTGCATCTGTTCATCTGGATCGACCCCAGCCAGATTGTCAGTGAGCATGTCCATGGTCCTGTTGATAAGGAGCACAAGATCAACGGGATAATCTGCATTATTAGCAAAAGTTCCTTTAATCGTGCGAGATTTAGATTCACCTGCAGGAGACGCCTCCCACTGCTGCTTGAATACTGTGAGGAGGGATAAACTGCATAATCCGCTAAGGGCGGAGGGTGGTACTTTGGAGTTGAGAAAACAATTGACTAGACGGGTGGAGAATCCGGGTGCCAACGTTGTCGTGTGCTCTATATACCGCTTGATCGCATCGACCAGCTTGGAAGCATCGCACCACACTTCAGTGTCAGAACTGCGATTTAACAGGTCAATGGCTATGGACGAAAGGCCCGCCCAGGACTCGATGCTCTATGCAGAACGCTCGTGAGTGAAAAGCAACCATAGGCAGTATCCATGAATTCTTACCCGATCCGATTCTGTAAACTCCCAAAATGTATCGAATACGGTCTGAGCATCCCAAAGCCCCAGAGAAGCCATGATAGGTCGGAGTGTGCTTTCGTAAAACGTGTCACTCCTAAGTCGTTTGTAGACTGCCAGTAGTATTTCTGCCACAATACTAACTGGTAAGGAGGCCAGGTCCGAACTGTTTCTCCCGTGGATGTTCACCCCGAAAAGCCAAGAAATAGCCGAAGCCGGTTGTGACTTGTATGGACAGGTTGGATCGATAGTTGGAAGTATTGCCGTAACAACAGCAAATAGGAAAAGAAGAGCGGTGGGCACCATCGCGATGGAGAGAACCGTGCTGTCCAGCATCTGGAGTAGGATGGCCAATCCAAGGAAAAAGAAGAGTAGCGCGCCTTGTAGCAATACCGGGAGGAAGCCAATAATAAACTCCACACGCCATGAGATCAAGGCGTTATGCCGATCATTCCAAACGCGCACTTGTCGATCTGGGCTGCTGAGCCCCTCCGGTTTGACGTGATGATGTAACCATTGCTTCACTGAGATCGAGATGGAGGCGGCAGCGAGAGTGAGAACGAGCGAGAGTAACCACAATGCATTGAATGCAACAATGTGTCGGGGAACAGGCGGTAACGAAGGTTGTGCAAGCGCCGGCGGGAACGCTGGTTGGGTAGAATTCGCGTAGCCGGCAGAAATAGCAAACGAGTCCAGTTGCGCGGAGATCTGCATGAGGATATAGGGCGTTTGATCTGGAACTGTCGGAGTTAGTTCTGGGTATGTCGCCACAATGAACGCAGTAACGATCGCGGAGAAAAGGCCGTCCTGTGGTGAAGCGTAATTGTCAATACTGAGCACGTTCCAAGATGAATGGATCGGCACATGAGACCGATAGAAAGAACTAGAGACTTACGAACACCAGCAGATTATCCAAATCCTCTTTCCAATTCGCGACCATGTCTTGTTCGGCTTTCCAGACATCTTCGGCACATTTCTTCCACACTTCGTGGGTCTCAGCTGTAGTACTAATCAGGGTTCCCTTGAAACCAGAATGTTTCAGCAAGGTGACCATTCAGGATGATTCGACCACCACTCACGAGCTGGAGCTTGGGAGCACTATCATCGTCTCCATCTGCATTGTGACTGATCGATGCGAGTCGCTGTAATGAATGAATACTCAGTCCAAAATCTCGTCTATAAGCTGTTGATGCACCTCGTCGACCTTTGGGGGCTGAAAGACCATGGATTTTCTGTCAGCAATTCCTAACCCGTTATCTGGTTTGGCGACTTGCCAGAAGTGCCTCATTGCGGACTCTAAGCGTCGACTCTGAAGGGTATGCACCGCCCCCAAAAACTGGAACTGCACGTTCTCTTTGCTCTGTTGTCGTTAGATGTTCCTCGGTGCTTCTACTTCCGCGGCTAGACACGCGCGAGCGAGAAAACATCGATGTAGCCGCTGTCCAACGTCTGTGAGCAGCTTTAGAGGCAGGATTCAGCGCGAGCGTGAGCACACGCTATAGCAACGACAGAAAACGGTGTCGTCCGAAGAAGCACGAGCAGTATCCTTATATCCAAACGCATGATTCCTGCCCAAGTTAAAGCGCATCAAGTCTTTACGTCGCCGTTGCTCGAGGGCATTAGCGTGTGTGCAACGTGGGGCTGCGCCATTCTAGCGGGGATGCAGGTATGAGACACAATCGCATGTCCAGGATCCGCTTAATAAGCGATCCCCGTACTTGAAGCCGGGTGTCATGAAAACCTCACATTACCGACTGGAGAGCTTCCATGCAATGTGCAGCCAATGATGTTGTAGCCATCGCATCATTGAACGTATCGGCAGATGGATGAGGGTGAATGTACGGGCTCAAAAGCTAGAAGACGACCTAGATCCGGGCCGGCATTGACAGGCATCTGTCAAGGTCATGATGCATCAGCAATGTCGCTAGCAAGAGATCAAAAGACTGCAGACGAGAAGAGGGTGCTACTTGATGTGAGGGTGAGCAGTATCCTATCATGTGCAGACGGAGTTTGACATCGAGAATGGAAGGCGAGGCATGCAAGTACAATGCGGTGGCCTCAACTGCATGGTAAGACAACGCCAGAAGCAGCTTTCAAACGCCACTTGGAGATATCCGCTTCCATGGTCTACACCACGCTAAGATTGGCTAGGCATGCCGCTTTAGTCAGAAACCGCAAGTACCATCATTCATGGCGGGGGTGAGAAGTAGACTGAGGTTTTTTCGGCAATGGTACTCACCGTTGAAGAGATGAATGACAAGTGCGAGCCTCTGAGCGAAATGGACTCGCTCGCTCGTAAAGGGATTCGGGTCTTGCGTCTGCTGCCATTGTCGACATTGGGGAAGGAATCCAGTCATGTAAGAAAGCGGCTTAGAAAAGCATGTGGCGAGCGCAAGTCCAGAATACAATATACTACCCGGGCTTCCTATAGGCAATACATCTCCTAACTGTCGTGCGGCACATTCTACCATTGCATCTCGCCACCATCAACGGTGACGCGGACGTTCGAAGGCAGGATGAGTGGAAGCCGTGCGTGAATGATTCTTTGATTCAAGCTTGGAAGCACTCGGGCAACGCGAAGTACACGAGAAACCTTCCTGTGCCACATGTCCGAGTCACACACCAATAGTAGTTGAACAGATCTTGCACCTAAAGTGCCAGTTTGAACGGCGTGTTCGGACATCCTCTCGGGCCACGAAACACGAAGTTTGTTCCGGTATACGCGAGGGGCAGGAGGGGACGGTGAACGAGTGGAGGTGTGGCTTTGTCCAGTAATAATATTTATTACCCGGGACGTCGGAGCAGCGGCAAATATATATAATGAACTGTGCGCTCCAGGACTCTGTGACTTTGTCAAGTATCCGCCTTGATGCATGCATTGCTTTCCGCTCTCTAGATATCTGAGCGAACGGAGTCTCTCATTACGCAGAATTTGATTCAAGAACCAGAAAACTGGCATTGATACGACCACGGCTATTCAACAATATTGCAAGCATTCACAACATGCCCAATCGCCGATCCACCGCTCTCAGTCTGCCCCAGGGAAGTCCCAATAGAAGCTGTGAACAGTAACATCGCAGGTGGTTGGGTCGACAAGTTCAAAGCTGCCAGTGGTGCCCTCGGCAGTGGGTGCGTGGCCGCCGGCATTGATCTGGATCTTCTCGTTGGGCTAAATGGTCTGGTCATTGCACCTGCTTGGGCCAGTTTCAGTGTTCTCTTCTTGCATGACACAGGGAATGGGCAGAAACTGGGTGCGCAGTACGAAGAGATGGAGGAGAGTGTTGGAAGTGAAGTGCGGAATGCACTTGGGTACGTGCTTGGCGTGCCGAGCACAAACGTTGTGCCGTTGTGCACCAACGAGACGGAACAGTCGGAAATGCACAGGAGACGGGGGGCAGAAGGTAGTATAAAGTACGTACTAGGTAGCCAGTTCCCTCAGCCGTTTACACAACTCATTACGCACTCTAACGAGGTCACTGGGGAACTGGGATGGGTGCGGACTGCTACCACGGTGTCCGGCCTGGGAAATCCCAAGAGAGAGGACCGACCCGCGACATGCAGCTTGCCCCAGGACCTGTCGTTTCAAAACATCGTGACCGGCACGGCAATAACAACCCATCGAGCATGTGCCATGGTGTATCAGCGAAGGTGGGAATCAGCATGCAGGTGAGTGGACGATTTCAGGTTGGAGAGTCGTCGTAGGGTTGTGCAGTATTTATCAAATGAGCTTGTCACATATTTCGAGGCCCTTGGGCGTCCGAGTCATTGACATGCGATGAGGAAGCTTTCTATCTTTGGACCTCTGACGACGCAACAGACAACGCAGCATTTTGATTTTGCGCTCAGCATGCATGCCTTATCTACTCTCCTTTAGCATTGAAGTCCACAAGCCCCCGAGGTCATTTCTGGAGGAGTGTATGTCAGGCCCCTCCACAACTGACCTGGGGGATTTGTGCGGTGCACGCTCTTCTGCTATACTCAATCTGGCTGTCGAACAAGGTATCTGAAGCGCTTCCCAACGAACAAGCTGAGATGCAGCTCATGGTCCACCTCCGTGACCACTCCACATCTGCGGTGAGCTTCCATCGCGTTTTTTCTGCCTCTCCAACTCTGCGATCGGTAGCGCAGATTCGTGATTCGTGAAAAGCGCGGCCGACGCTGTCGCTGGTGAGACCGTCATGGACGTCATGACCATCAATGGTCCTGTCAAGCACAATATCTTCAAACGCGTTGTTGTCAGTAGCTGAGGCAGCGCGATGACTAGCGTTCACCGTCCAGCTCGAATTCACGAGGACACTCCTCGTCGCCGTCAAGTTCCGATACAGAGCTGTCGTATATCGTATGTCACAGCCAGCAAGCGCGTCAGAATCATGGTCCGTGGTCAATATCGCGTCCTAAAGCCTAAGCCTGAAGTACCCAAGCACCAATCAAATCGCCCGTCAAACGTCCGCGAGAAGTACCAACGGCGACTTGTCCTCCAGCAATCTTTACACGCCACTGATCAAACTCTAGTGCTGAAACAAGAAAAATCTCTAATGCACAACATCTTTGGTACACAACTCTACGCACAGACAAACAAGCGATAGTACAGTCAAAATCCATAGTATGAACGCGAATAGGCCAGTCCGACATGATACATTCACAGTCTACGCATGTATTCCAAGAAGCGACAGGCGCGACGCACCCATTTCTTTTCGAACGCCAACGAGTGGTCCCAGCCCACCCTCAGCACCCTCTTCCCTGGACCCACTACCTCCCTCCCAGGATCCCGTCCCCAACCTCAACCTCGAGCTCCACGTCAAACGTCAAACCACGCCCGGCACGACTCCCAGGACAAGCCCGCCCATCACCGCCAGCGCAGTCGCGATCACCGCAGACAACCTCACCACCACCTTCCCCACCGCAGACGCAGGCGTCCCCGACGCGCTCGTGTTCCCGCTCACATCATTCAGCAGATGATTGCAATACGTGCTGTTAAACACCGACACGGGCAAAACCACCTAATGCGCACGCACATCCACCAATGATCGATCAGCCTCTCATCACCACCGGATCCGTCCAAGCGCACACATCCACGCGGCCAGTGAACACTTACCTTCGGCATCCCGTTCTCCCCCTGCACGCTCACCCCCCCGTTCTTGTCCGCCTTGAACTCATCACACGTGAGGACATCGATGAGCGCCTCCCCCGCCGAGTAGTTCGCGTCCGCCACGCTCCACGCCGGCGTCGAGCCGCTCCCGCCGTTCGTGAGCAGCGTGAGCATCGGCGACTTGACCACCGCGAGCGACGACTCGGACACCGACGCGAACTCGACCTATACGCGCGGATGCGACGAGGTGAGGTCAGCTCCTGGCGGAGCCCGGGAGACGGAGCACTCACCGCGGTGTTGAGGTAGTCGCTGCTTGCATCGATCGCGGCCTTGCGCGCGGCGTTGAGCGTGCGGACGTGGATGACGAGCGGCTTGTCCATCACGTAGCCCGATAACCACAGTCTGAGCCCTTGCCGTGAGTCAAGGTCCGCCCCAAGCCATCGCTGACACTCACGCTTCGCGGTTGTACGGGTCGTTGCCGCCCGTGTAGCCCTGCTCCTGACCTTGATCGCACGAGGTGAGTTCAGGTCTGAGTCAATTGCAGACGCTGCTACGCTCACCGTAGTACAGGATCGGGATCCCATCCTGTATGAACGGCCATGTCATAGCATTCTTCACAAGCTATTTGAGAAATAACATCAGCCGAATGCGGTAAGGGTTCCAGAAGTAATGACAGCGCACCGCCTGGTCGGTCTCGAACGACTGGAAGCGCGGGTTGTCCGCGTTCTCGAGGAAGGACCCGGTCATGAACTCGCCGAGGCGGTACGCCTTTTGCGACTGCTTCACCGTCTCGGCGAGCTCGGTCAGATTGCCGCTCGTCCCGTTGAACGCCCGCACGAGCGGGTAGTACGTCGGGTAGTCCAAGACGCTGTCGACGTATCCTGTACGTTACGTTTCAGCGAGCACATCGCGAATTGATTGAGCGACGGCACTGACCGGTGTAGTTGGCCACGTACTGGACGTCGCCGCTCAGAACTTCGCCGATGGAGAACACGCCGGCGGCTGCGACGAACGCCGGCCAGAAGTCCTTCCTGATGTGTTTCACGGTGTCAATCCGCACGCCATCCGCATTATACATGTTCACTAGGTTCTTGATCCAATCGTTGAAAAACTCCACGATGTCGTCATCCTCGGTGTTGTTGTCCACGAGGGGAACGTTCGTGTCGCCGAGCCAGCACTGCTCGACGTTAGTCTGGTTGTTATAGTCTGTGATCCAGCAAAAGGGATGAAAGTCTGACTGATTGTCGAATGGGGTGAAGGACGCGTAGTTTGGCGGGAGGGTGTCGGCGGCCATGTGGTTGACGACGACGTCGAGCATGAGATACATCCCGCGCTGGTGCAGGGTCTCTGCGAGCAGCTGGAGGTCTCCATCGGTGCCAAAGTGCGAGTTGAGCGTGTTCTGGTCGACCGCCCAGTACCTGCGCAGACCGAGTCTCGACCTCGCAGCACGAGGATGCTTATGAGCGACGCACCCGTGGTATGCCTCCCCGTCTCCGGTGTCGCCCTCGAGGTTCGCGACGACGGGGGAGATCCATATGGCGTCAAAGCCCATGTCCTGGATGTAGGAGAGCTGGTTGATGACGCCCTGCCATGTGCCGTTGCAGTACTTGCGCTCGCCGGTGTCGCATGGCGGGGCAGAGCCGTCCGAGGTGGCGAAGCGGTCGGTGACGAGCTGCACACGATGAGGTCTTGCGGTGACCGATCAGACAAACGACGTACCTGATAGATGGAGCGCGTCTGCCAGTTCTCCGCTGAAGCGGCGAAGACGGGCGTGGCGAAGAGGGTGAGCAGGGACCACAACATGGCGGGGACCGGTGGGTGAGGGGGACGGTCTGCCCCTGCCTGCGAGAGCTGAAAAGGTGAGCTAGGGCGTTCTGCGGGCGGTACAGTGATAGATGGGGAGAAGAGAGGGGGAGGCCGAATAGAAGCCGCAGTAACCCGGGCTTCATGCTCATCGAGGGTCTCCTTGGCTGGACTCGCCGGACTTCTCTCTCCGATCCCTCAGGAGCTCTCAACGCCAAATCGGGCGCGTCCTCGCCCTTTTATGGACGCCCGCAAGATCTTATCTCAGCGAGCGATCCGTTAGCTCCAACGATCACTGTGATCGAATTTTGACACTGCCCCCATCTGGTCTAGGCCCTCAGAGTCTGCGAACAAGCCGCTGGTTTCTGGAAATTTTTCAGACTTATCGTCGGGTTGTTGCCGCCGGTTGCAGGGTTCTCCTACGTCATTGATAGAAGGCCAACTGCAAACCGAGATAATGAACGGATTCTGCAGGGCCAACTGCTTGTTTAGCTTTCCGTGCGACTCGATTGTGCCTTGTTCGCATCACTACCGGTACCTCAACCGCGCCGTTGCAACATGTCAAACACGCTCATGTGCTTCTATTGGATTAAACAGCGTCAAGATAACAAGCCTGATGACCTCAAAAATCCCCGCCATTCTATTGCCGTTAGCTTACATTACAGAGTACACTAAAGAAAGTCGTTCGTTGAGTTGATTGTCTACTGTCTGCTGATGCTACATCTATGAACGCTCGATCGGAAACTCGAGAGCGTCTCTCTCGACGCTTCACCGCGATCCGACACGTCTAGTACATGCCAAGGGACAGGAGTACCGTCATCCCTACCAAAATCAGCGCCAATACGGACGACTGGCGGCTTGACGCAGCCGACGTGGGCCCCGAGCTGTGCTCGGCGCCAGGACTTGAGCTAGTGCTAGAGCCCGAGCTACGAACGGGCTTCTTCAGCTCTTCGCAGTAGCTTTTGTTGAACGCCTTGTCCATGGGCAGGATCACCTGTATAAGTGAACTTTAGAATGACGCGGTAGGTGCAGGGCGATGGGAGGCGCACCTGCGGCATGCCATTCTGGCCGTTGACGGTGAAGCGACCGTTAGAGTCCGCAATGTAGTTGTTGCACGATAGGACGTCGATGAGCTCCAGTCCCGGCGCGTACGTCTCGGGCACTTCCCACTTGGGCGAGGTGTCGCTCCCGTTGTTCGTGAACAGCCCGAGCATCGGCGGCTTCCACGTCATCATCCTCGTCTTCTCGGCGTCAAGGATGGCCACCGGGGTGGTCAGGAAAATGCTCTCGTTCGCAGCCATGGCTGCTTTTCGTGCAGCGTTCAAAGCCTTGACGTGCATGACAAGCGAGGAGTTCTCGTTGTAGTCGGAGAGCCAGAGCCTGGCGTGCAGAGCTAAAGGGCAGCATCATGTATCGACAACGAAAAGCTCACGCTTCGTGATTGTCCGGGTTGTTCCCGCCTTTGAAGCCTTGTTCTTGACCTAGAGGACGATGACCTCAGGTCAGCATCTCTGGCTAGATATTCACGTACCATAGTACAAGATGGGCACGCCGTCCCCGACGAACGGCCAAGTAATCGCGTTCTTGACAAGCTATACAACCCGTACATGAAGGTCCATTCAAACCTAAGCGTGCAAAACCGCTCACCGCCTCGTCCGTTGTGTACGATTGAAACCGCGGGCTATCCTGGTTCTCGAGGAACGTGCCGCTCGAGAATGCCCCGTACTTGTACGAGTCCTGGACGGCTTGGTACGTGTTCGCGAGCTCGGTAAGATCGCTATTGGTGCTATTGAATGCCTTCACAAGAGGATAGAACGTCGGATAGTCCAGTACGCTGTCGAGTACCTCTAAACGAAAAGTCTCAGCGCAACGCTCGATCAAGAGGCCACCGTGAGACACCTACGCGTATAAGCACTGACATACTGCACGTCGCCGTCCAACACTTCACCAATAGTGAACACCCCCGAGGCCTTCGCGAACCCCGGCCAAAACGTCTTCCTAACATTCCTCACCGTCCCAATCCGCACGCCATCCGCGCCATACGTCCGCACCAACCCCCCAACCCACGCACCAAAAAAGTCGACGATCCCCGCATCCTCCGTGTCCACGTCCGCGAGCGGGAGGTGCGCGTCGCCCAGCCAGCACTGCTCGACGTCCGTCTGGTTGCTCTCCTCCGTGATCCAGCAGAAGCGGTGGAAGTCGGAGGAGGAGGAGAAGGGCGTGAAGGAGGAGTAGTTGAGGGTGGGTGGGGGGGAGGTGCCGGCGAGGTGGTTTATGGTGAGGTCGAGCATGAGGTACATCCCGCGCGAGTGGAGTGCGGAGCTGAGCGAGGTGAGGTCGGAGGCGGTGCCGAAGTGGCCGTTCAGCGCGTTCTGGTCGACCGGCCAGTACCTGCGCCGTTAACGAATGAATATGATGCGGAGAGGAGGAGGGATGGAGGCGCACCCGGGGTAGGCCTCGCCGTAGTATGTTTCGCCCTCGATGTTAGCGACGATGGGTGAGATCCAGACGGCGTCGAACCCCATGTGCTGGATGTAGTCCAGCCTGCTTTCGATGCCCTTCCAGGTGCCGCCGCAGTACTTCCGGCTCGCGACGCAGCGTGGGCTCACTAGCGCTATGTCTGGCTTTGGCGCGCAGCGGACGGGCTGTTCGAAGGTGAACAAGGACAGGTTTGCGTTAGAAGAGAAGGCGGGAGAAGCTCGCGATCGACCGCAGAGAAAGTTCGAGATGAGGACATGGATGGGGCAAAGAGGGAGCTATACAGCTGCCCTTCATCGTACACTGATACTGCCATTACTTCCCATTTAACCGGAAATCTGATCTCTTAACCACAATGAAGTGGATGCCAGTGGCATGCAGTACAGACACCTTATGGATCATTCTACACTGCACAGAAACGAAAGCCCGTGTGGCTGGTAGTACCAAATGCAGAAGCCAAAACCTCCCACTCAGCCACACGGCATCACACGGCCCGCTGTGGGAACAAGGAAGATGTTGTAGCGGAGTTCTTTCATCAGTGCGGCAGCCAGAAGTCCTGCCTGAAATTTAATTCACACGCTCAACCCTGAGTGACGCGTTACAAGGCTGATGGGTAACCTTCGAATTGGGGTCCTGATGAGCAACGTGTGACCGTAAAGCTTGATCAGAACATTGCAGATCAGCGGACGATTCGTCGAACCGATGGCACGGACAAGATGCCTAGCCTCCGAAGGCAATCTCGTGGGTGCATCCTCTTCACTTGATGCTCCCGAGATTGATCCTCAAATTACATATGTATTTCGAACCATTCTCATGTGTATCTCAGGACCCCAACTCAGCGTCCGCAAGTCAGCGAACCGGCTCGGCTGCTTCAGCGCGGTCTGCATCCCATGCGGCTCCGCCATTTAGAAATCGGTCAAGACGTCGTGACCACCCGTACTCTTGCTACAAAGGACAGACATGCTGCATGCCTGCCCAGGTGCCGTCGAACCACCGTATTGTGACCGTGTTCCATCGGCTCCAAGAAGCAAGGCCCAAGGTCTGGGTATTGTCCTCGTGGGTCAGATTGCTTTGCTGCGCAATTCTTTGTCTCGTCTGTTGACTTGCGAAGATATACCCTAATGGCATGCTCATTCTCATCGTTCTCGGCACTCACGTACAGGGGTACGTATGCCAAACTCGAACAATGTGCACCGCGACGCTCACGACAAGAGTCTGAAATGCTTCCCCATCCTGCCCGTTCTGATGATATGAGGGTCAGTTCTCTGCCAGAATTTCTCCCACAGCAATACCAATAGAACCAGAAGGCGACGGATCCGCCTGAACGGAACGGCGTATCGATATTCAATAGCCATAAGCAGTACGAGAGGTCCTAAATGAAACAAGGCAGGTCTCGTCAGGTTCTCCGCAATACGAAATGATGAGGAGCTCTCACCGTCAACTTCTGCTGCGCTCGCAGGCCGATGGACCATTCGACAATGTCCGTGGACTCTGTTTGGCAATGTCATTCTTTGATGAATGCGAACGAGCTCATTACGCACTTCTTTCGCCTGCATCGAGGCCTCGCCGACGATCGCATGGATAAGATTTCGGGGGACATATCACCTAAGAGAACCTGCTGCAAACGGAACAGTCTAAGGGTCCCCAGATCGCGCCACGGAAGATTAGGTCACGGCCCGGTGCGGTTTCAAGGTATAAATGATGGGGCATGGTGACGGAATTCAGCACCTCTCTCCGCCCGTCATCTCCTCCCATCCTCACCGTGACATGCCTTCCTCCACCATCCTTCATGAGCACGCCACCTAGCTCTCCGCTCACTATCGCCGGCGACCGTGAACGACCGTCTCAGGATCGACTGGGCGCAACATGCCCATACTGGTGCGTCCCACTCACATTAACAGCCCACTGACAGCAGATTCTGTGAAGACGGAGCACGGGACGCGTCGAACGTCGCACGCATCGCGCTACTCGTCCACCCTTCACGTGCATGCAACCCCACCTATCGAGTCAAGTACGCGTAACCTGCGATCGCGTTGTCCGCTCACACTCATGTCCAGCCGTGTGTAGACGCATCATTCCACATGCCCGCCAAATGCAGCAACAAGCACACTGCACCAAGCATAAGCAACGGTGAGTACGCCGCTCGCACATCATTTCGTCAATGAGCCAGCCGCTCACGTCCACCGAGCGGAAAGTTCGATCGCGACATCACGCACCACGCCTCGTCACTTCGGGAACAGCAGCCATCAGACTCATCAACCCGGTATGCAGCACCCTCCCGATCCTCACCCAACCGCGAACGATTCGATAACGTCCACTCGCAGGACACACAGCGCGATGGTGACCTTTACCAGCTCAGTCCATCGCGTCCGCGAACGCATGCCCAATCTCCAGGACGAAGCCGAATCGCGATCATAAGGAACACCCATCCTGGCCTCCTATGCCGCCCACCTCGAGCCTCTACGCGACCACCTGCAACGTGAGCACACGACCTGTGGGTCGACTCTGACATGCCTGCAAGCCCTCTGTGCGATTCGATAACGTCCACGGGCAGGACGCACAGCGCGACGTCGACGTTCACGAGCTCGGTCCATCGCGTCCGCGAACCTATGCCCAACCTCCAGGATGAAGCCGGATCGTGATCACGAGGAGCAACCCCCAGGACGAAGCTGGATCGCGATCACGAGGAGCAACTATCCTGGCCTCCTACGCCGCACCTCGTGCATTCTACATGATGTCAGTCTGCTCTATGCACCCAGACCCTCACGCCGTTCCGCGTCCTCGCGTCTGTCCTCTCTCGCTCCTCACCCCACCGTGACGCATCCGGGTCCCTCGACTTGCTCCCTGCAACCACCCACAACGAGCTGCTACTCACCCTGGCGATCGATGCGACTGCGTCCTCCCGCCATCGTCATTCTGTGTCTCTCGCGCTCATCTACTAGTATTGTTTCGCGATGGTCGCGCCCCGCAAGCCATCGACAGTCTCGCTTTGTGGCCACAACGGTCGTCTCAGATGCCCAGCGCTCCGTCGTTCGCAAACGCCCCCACGAGCACCCCGACCGCGACGGTCCGTCCTCCCTCACGCCGACGTCCGTCCGAGCATGCGCATCGCTCATCGAACAAGACAAACCAAACGGCGCGTCTCTCCCCATCTCGTACTCCCCACGCAAGCCATCAGCACACAGCACATGCACGCTGGCCACAGACGCGTGCGCATTGCGCTATCTCCAAGTCAACACCCGCGCCCACGGACCGTGCATAGCCCAGCGGTGCACGGCGTGCATCTCCTCCCCGGTGAGCCCTCTCTTTGCGGACCGCCACATCGTCTTCCACACGGCCGACGTGCGCGGCTGCATGCCGAGCGCAGACAGACGGTGCGTCTCTCGCCATCTCGTATCAACCATCCTGGCCTCCTATGCCGCGCACCTCGAGCCTCTACTCGACCACCTGCAACCCGAGCACACGACCTGTGGGTCGACCCTGACATGCCTGCAAGCCCTCCGTGTACGGACCGGCCGCCTTGATCAACCTTGTTGTAAGTACGATCCGCACAGATCTCGCTCGCTTGCCGCTCACGGCATTCCCTGCAGACGACACGTTGGCCCAGTACGTTGCACGCCGTGACGGCTCTCCGATCCGCTGAATCGATGACCATCGCCCGCAGAGCCAACCGTGACCGACGCGGACCACCGGACTGCAAGACTCTCCGCACACTGATAACGTCGTCCTGTACGTTCTGTCTGCACATCCGGTGCACATGACACTCATGCCCGCCCTGCGCAGACACGAACACTGACGCTTCGCAAGGTAGATCTCACATCGATGGGTGCAGCGTGAGCTGACGTCGCGACTCGCGTCCATTTTCAGGCCATAGCAACAGATGGGAAGGAGGAAAATATATTCGGTAGAGGATGGATACAAGGGAACGAGATGAATGGCATGCGATGACATACCTTGCACCGAGAGCCCCTGCACGCTCAACAGAGCGCATGCGCATGCATGACTGACGTTCCAGAAAGCGAGCTGGACAGCGCGCCCATGGTTCAGTCGCTCGCCTGAGAGCAAGACATAAGTGTGCGAACGTGAGAGAGAGCTCACCCGGAGACGCGTTGGGTGACTGTACAACAACCACGACGACTGATCGGGAGCATCGCGGGCGTCGGGCGCCGCTGTAAGTGTCAGGATCGAGACAGGAAGCGCGTTTGCGTACAAGAATGTCAGAGCGGCGGGCGATTGATCGTGAGAGACGGCACGGTGGACGACGCTGTCCGCACTGAGCTGCCAGCTGAGAAGGAGACGATGCTTGCACACGGACGCGCTGATTCTGATGGCAGGCGCACACGTGTTGCGCGCAGTTCCTCTCGCGGTGGACGTCCAGACTGGGTTCTTGCAATGGCAATGGACGAATACGCGCAGGGTGGAGTGTGCGACGCGACGCGTGGTATCGTACAGGCAGAACCGTCCGCAGTGTTGGCCGTGCGTGCGGCGGTTGCGATGTCCAGAGCGTGGCGAGCAGAGGCGGGCACAAGTGATCTGGAATGTGTGAGAGAGCTGAGGAGGAGAGGGGCGCGCCGTGGCAGTACATCATGGACGTCAATGCGTTGCGGCGAGCAGGAGCATACGGCACCAAGAGGCAGAGACTGGAAGTGTCAGGCACGACGCGCCCTTTTCCAACGCCGACGAGTGGTCCAGCCCACCCTTAGCACGCTCTTCCCTCCACCCTCTTCCCTCCAGGATCCCGTCCCCCAACCTCAACCTCGAGCTCCACGTCAAACCACGCCCGGCACGACTCCCAGGACAAGCCCGCCCATCACCGC